TGTCTTCCATTTTCTAATAATTGATCCCACAGTTGATTTCTTCACACCAAGCTGCTTACCTATTGCAGATTCAGTCTTCCCAGCCTGGTACAGGTCTACAATTTTGTTTCTGGTGTCCTTTGACAGCTCTTTGGTCTTGGCCATAGTTGAGTTTGGAGTGTGACTGTTTGAGGTTGTGGACAGGTGTCTTTTATGCTGATAACGAGTTCAAACAGGTGCCATTAATACAGTTAACAAGTGGAGGACAGAGGAGGCTTTTAAAGAAGAAGTTACAGGTCTGTGAGAGCCAGAAATCTTGTTTGTTTGTAGGTGACCAAATACTTATTTTTCACCATAACTTGCAAATAAAGTCTTTAAAAATCAGACAATGTGATTCTCTGGATTTCTTTTTTTTCTCATTTTGTCTCTCATAGTTGAGGTATACCTAGGATGAAAATTACAGGCCTCTCTCATCTTTTTAAGTGGGAGAACTTGCACAATTGGTTGCTGACTAAATACTTTTTTGCCCCACTGTATGTGTGCTTATGTATGGGTGTGTGTTCTCTTTAAAATATTTGTATCCTTTTTTTACCTGGACTTGTCAAAAAACACAAATGTCCCATGTTACAATACCACATATGATCTATAGTAGCTTAGAGATAATCTTCCTCCTATATTTGTTGCTTTACAACATTTATAATTGGATTTTGGTAGTTCTCTAGCAGTTAGACTCCCTTCATTTATCACATGAACCTTACTTTATGACATGAGCCTTGCTTTATCACATGAGCCTTACTTTATCACATGAGCCTTACTTCTAAGCACTCCAATCTAGTGCTTTTCGTTCCCAGTGACAAGACTTTCTGGGATTTTGGACAACAGGGAATCGCTTTGCTTGGTTTGCTTAAGAAAATAAAAAGCTAATTAAAACCATTTCCAAGTCCTACTTTAATAAAAAGACACTAATCATTTCAAAAACATTATAGATGAACAAAAGCAAAGTACAAATCCAGTGTCTCCTACTTTGAGGAAAACTCTTAATTTGCTGTTGCTGGTGTTTGGTTCATCTTTCCTCCCCGTCGTGATTGAAATAAACAAACTAAGAGCCATTATAGGCTCCAGGAGCAGTAATTGAATAGAATAATAACTGGCTGTTAACACAGTTGTTAATTAGCGTTCGCTGATCCGTTCCTATCTACACAAAACAGCTTGGAGCCCATATATTAAAAAAGACTTAAAGATAAGAGGCCAATGGGCTTATTTCATTATTCACGTGGTACGTGCGTGCATGCGTGGTGAGGGATGGGGGGGTAGCTGATGACAAGGGTGCCTATATTGACTTTTATTCTATCTTATATTACTTACACTAATGTAATTTTGGCTACCATGTTTCACAAACAAACTTTGCTCACTTGCTGGAAGTAAAGACAATCTTGAATGCTTGAAGACATGGTTTCATCTTCATGCATCATTACACCTAAAATGAAACTGCAACATTATTTTACCTGGCCACCTTATAATTTACCTGGGTGCCCAAAATCAACATTAAACGAAAAAAACAATGTGTGTATGTGTCAGTTATGCTTCAGGTCAGATATCTAAATATTTAAAGCAATGGAGTTTGTACAAATGTTGCAAGTGTACATTAGTATTTATTTACAGTTTTGTCCTGTCTATGTTAAAGATAATCAAACAAAGCACCTCCAGTACTTTATGAATTAAAACCAATTGATTGTTGTGTCTATTTTTTCTTCTCTGCCTTGAACACAGAATGTTTATGTGAACATCAATCGGATCATGTCGGTCGGGAACCGGCTCCTGGAGACCGGCCACTACGCCTCCCAGCAGATCCAGCAGATCTCAAGTCAGCTGGAGCAGGAGTGGAAGGCCTTTGCTGCAGCACTGGACGAACGCAGCACCCTGCTGGAGATGTCTGCCAGCTTCCACCAGAAAGCAGACCAGGTACATGCAGAACGACTAACAGACGAACAGGATATTAAGTACAGTTCTGAGGATGTCTCCCCCTGGAAAATTGACAATTACATGCACAAGCGTACAGTATGCGGTAGAATGAATGGGTATTCTTTCTTTAATGATAGGCACAAATAAGAGGGGGAATGGAGCATATTAGATGTATTACAGAACTTTAAAGGCTGAAATGAATATCTGGAATGTGTGCTTTACTGAATAGTTAAGGATTTAAACCTAATAATAGTTTTATATATTTTTAAGATGAGTACATTTAAAGAGAAAGAGAAGTAGAATAAAAAACACTACAATTTACAAGCTCTAATAGACCTAAAAGACCATTTAAATGATCAATACTGCTTTCCATCGTTTTGCTTATGTTTGCAGTTACATTGAATTAGTTGGTTGTTGACATCTATAGTTTGCTGAGTGGCCTCTTTTCTGTAAGATCTTATTGCTCAAGACTTACTAGTCAGCTTTTGATGTGTTGCTGTCAGGTTTAGTGGGGGAGCAGCGTCGCAGACATGATATTTGTATTGTATGCTTTCATGTTACAATTTTGGCAAAATAGTCTCTACCTCATATTACATATAAAATAAAGTATATATTTTATACTTATTATAGATATCTATAACAAGGCAATTTTAAACAGACCCAAACTCCTTTCCAATCTTCCCTTCATAAAACAGAATAATAAATGGTCAATCAGATTTGTATTCGTTCTACCCAGATCTCCCCTCTTCTCTCCCTTTTTGGTTGTTGAACTTTTCCTTTCACTTCTCAGTGAGAGGAAAAGTCTCTTTCCTTGTCAGCCTTTCTGTTTCCAACAATAACAGTTGGGATGCCAAACCTTTATGTAAAGCTAGTTAAGCCGCCAGCCGAGGAAGAGATATCCTAATGCAGAGTCATTGTTTTTCTTTGTTTTTGTTGGCTAACTGTGGGAGTATTCAACGGGCAAAACATTGTCTGAAGTCTACATACATGCTTATACCATGGACTGTCTTAGTAGTAATATGGGCAGTCTAAGTATGCCGTTAGTGAAAAATACAGGTTTCCATACTGCATGAATAGATATATCAATTGCCACTGCAAAATCAACTGGTTCAGTTATTTTCATTATCTTGGTTTCACAGAAACAATCTGATAATTGGTCACCGCAAAATAAAAATATAAAGGTTTAATGATCATTTTAAAGTGCCTACTTGTAGTGTGACAATGTAATTATAATTTAAACAATATAGAACAAGTTAATCTGGCTTTAAAAAGGATCTTAACAGCCCCGTCATGCATGCACAAAAGATATCGCATTTTACAGTGCATACCAAATAGAATGCATAGTATACAATACCTAGACACTGCACACTATATATATTGTGTATACTGTATATTTATTTGTAGGTCTGTGTAATACAATGTTTGTATTGTGTCTGTTCTCTCCTCAGTACATGAGTAAAGTGGAGCCATGGTGTAAGGCATGTGGTGAGGGAGAGCTGCCCTCTGAACTCCAAGATCTGGAAGACACAATCCACCATCACCAGGGACTGTACGAGCACATCACAACAGCATACTCTGAGGTCAGTTCACACATGCATGCTGATGTAATCATGCAAAACAAAAAGGTACATGGAAATATTGAGGCCTCCGCCGCACGACATGAAATGGGACTGATAATTATCCAAATCATGAATTCACAATATTATCAACAGCCTTAACACAGTGCGTCCATAAAATCTTACACATGATCAAAATGTTCTAAGTAAATTATATGTACTAGAGATATTGAATATGATATACAATATTAAAGCAGAAGGTTATAGTCCTTTAAAAAAATAAATAACTTAACCCAAATGTGAAAATTCCCTATTAGAAAAATGTATTTAACTTTGAAAGAATATTGTAAAAAATATTAGATGTCTGTGCTATCGAGTCTGAGGTAATGGAAAATCTTACTATATCAATAATGCAGATCTTTTTTGCATAATTCATCTTATTATCTGTTTGCTAAGGAATTTGGGAGGTTTTCATGTTTCCCACGTGAGATAATGTAAGGATTTTTGCAATATGTGAAACTACATGATACCTTTAACAGGTAAGCCAGGATGGGAAGTCTCTTTTGGACAAACTACAGCGACCTTTGACACCAGGAAGTGCTGATTCGTTGATGGCATCGGCTAACTACTCCAAGGCTGTACACCACGTCTTAGACATCATCCATGAGGTGCTGCACCACCAGAGGCAGCTGGAAAACATCTGGCAGCATCGCAAAGTCCGCCTGCATCAACGGCTGCAGCTGTGTGTCTTTCAGCAGGATGTACAGCAAGTAAGAGACACTCAAAGACATACAGAGCAGAGTCCAACTAACACAAGAGCTGCAGCTGTGTTGGCCTTAGCAGGTTTTGTTGTTCACACATACACATACAACTACACATTCACATACAACTACACATTCACATACAACTACACATACACGTACACATTTACATACACATGTAGACTACGGTAGAGACAGGATAAAGTGCTCTCTCATCTTGTCCCTATTTCAAGTAATTACCCGGCCCGGTAAAGCAGTGACCATTAGGGCTAGCTATACACTGCTCTTACACATGTACACATCTATCCTTCCTAACATTTTCTCCTCAATTAATCAACTTATTGAGCTTTTCACAACTCTTCTTGTTATGTGGCAGTTTACTAAACTTATTTTGATTCGGTATAATCTGTAAAACATTTGTGCTTCCGAGTAGTTGAATAAGCTGGTATTGCTGATAAGAATCAGAACACATACAAAATAGGAAGCAGGGTAATGTAAGACATATTTTACTAGTACATGTATACTGGATAGCTAGATAACAAATACAAAAATAAGAAGCTGTTACAATAGCAATAAATGTGTTTAGTGTTGCTGTATTACTTTTTTAAAATGTTATAAAGATCCTATTATCTCTTTTGCAGTGAGATATTGTGCAAACATCCCATACTGGATAGCAGAGTGTGATATTAAGATGTAATATAATCAGCTCCAGCTTTTTCAAAGCCTTTTTTCCCCCACTTCCTCTTGGGTTTAGAGAGAGTTTTTCTCTCTATGTGACTGAGGATGGCTGAGCTCTTAGATCAAAACTACTGAGTTGCATAGTGTCATCTATACATCTCTCCCCTTTAGGCATGAACTCTTCCCTGCCTCTCTGCCCCCTCTCCATCTTGCTGTATCTTTGTACTACTGTCATTCCCCTCTTCCATCCACTCTTTCATCACCCTTTTCTCTTGATAGTGGTTTCCATGGTGATACAATTTTCTGCCACATACAGTGTTGAGGGCATTGTGCACATGTTCAGATGTGTTTGTCCCATCAAAATATTATAACTGAGACTTGAGAGCATTGTGAATCCTTTTCATTACCATACATATAAACAGATTAAGTATGGCCATCTGTTTTATAGATAATAAGGTAATTATGTACAAAGATTTATAGCTAATCTCCCCCACAGTGGAAATGTTGACACTTTGAACTGCTCTGGATTTCCTATTAGGCAAAACCTAATCATCCACTTGTGCAATTTAGACATGACAGACTGCATATGGGGGGAAATAGTAAAGAAAGGGCGGATGAGCAGAGAGCAAGACGGAGGGGTGAGGAAGAGAGTGATGACATCTAAAAAGTACTCTAATGCTAATGTGATCTGAATACAGTCAAGCCAGTCAAATTACACCCCCTACTGCTTGAAAATACATACTACATGCTTATACTCTGTGTGTTCCCAGGTGCTCGACTGGATAGAGAACCACGGTGAGGCCTTCCTCAGTAAACACACTGGTGTTGGGAAGTCTTTACACAGAGCCAGGGCTCTGCAGAAGAGACATGAAGACTTTGAGGAAGTTGCACAGGTGAGTTTCAAGGTTCAAGTGTTAACACAAAAACAAATCATCTTGTGATGTGCTTTTTCTCTCAGCATCAATTGACATTTTTGATGAGAAATCATGCATGTGTGAAGCATTTCAATGTTTAGTCTGAATATCAAATATTAAGTAAAATATTATTTTGGAAGACAAATATGCTTAATCATCTTTTTAAGCTCAAAAGGTGTTTTTGTAGTAACAATCAAGTGTATTTGGACTCTCATCAATTCTTAATGTTTATGTTTCAGAACACCTACACCAATGCTGACAAGTTGCTGGAGGCAGCAGAACAGCTGGCCCAGACCGGAGAGTGTGACCCAGAGGAAATTTACCAGGCTGCCCATCAGCTAGAAGATCGCATTCAGGACTTTGTGCGACGTGTTGAGCAACGTAAAGTCCTGCTGGACATGTCTGTTGCCTTCCATACTCACGTCAAAGAGGTGTGTATTACCTCTCCTCTCCTCAACCCTAATAAGGCATATCAACCACATTGATTCGACTCATATATTTTGTCTAAAGCTAAAGCTTGTACTACTTTATGAGAAAACTAGCCTGATGAAGTAGATGGTTATCGTTTTATTGATCAGCAATCTTTTTTAATGTATGTAGTAATCGCAGGAAAAAACATGTCATGTCTTCATCAACCATAAAACTGACCCATTAGTAATTGTTCTGCTTTTGCTGTTTTGAGAATTGTTTTTATAATGGCTTTACAATCAGAATTGCATTTGTAGATGGTTGTGAAATAAATACACTATTACCTAGAAACTATTAACACTTACAATCCTTCTAGCAAGTAGCCATTATCATCTATGTTAGGACTTTAACACAGACAGTGTTAGTCCCCATGACTGAATAAGTTGATTACATTTCTGCAATCATATTTAAATTGGTCACACACAAGCAAAAATAATTTTACTCATATTTCGCAAACTTTAATATGCTTTATACATCTGCACCAACAATCGCCAATAATCCGTACTCATAGTTCTCCCAGTGCAAACATCTGTGCATTTCCATTTTTTAGTAGTGCACTTTTATTTACACAAATAAAGGCAATCTGCCTCAATATGCTTTCTACATTACTGTGATAATGACAATCATGCCTCTGTTATATGCCTCATTCATTTAAAATTAAATAAAGAACATGCAAACTGTACAGGACAGGGCAGCCATTTGTACGTGTCTGTGTTGCTCATCTCTACAACACTAATTGCTCACAGTCTTTCACTGTCCAAATGAACCTCTCCACACTGACATTACACTGTACTCAACATGTGGTGCCTCTACATCCTGTTTACTCAGACTCATAGAGATAGTCAGAGCCGTAGTGTTAGAAATGGAGCTAGTCTTTAGCGTCCATATGGACTAATCTCTTTCATCCCATCTGTCAGTTCACACTAGTTCAGGTCAGTGTGTGTGTGTGTGCCTGGGTATGTGTATGCGTGTCAATGTTTCCAGCTCTCCTGGCCATCACCTCTTGCAGTTCTGTAGAAACCTTTGGATGCAGTCCAGCATGTTACAATCAAACAAACAGTTCACTGTGGAGAGACAGACACTTGCGAAAGAGCAAATTCAACTGTACTCAGATGAAGTCGATTCTTGTAGTCATTTCAGATATTGTTTATAACTCAACCTTAGTGACAAATAGGAACAGGTGGCTTACTATTATGTCTTGTAAAACAAATCTTTACTGATAATAATAAAACACATTATTAAAAAAAAGCAGCCACTCAGTTAGCTCAGACAGTATGTCTGTATAAGCGTCAAGTATAATGTAAGCTACTTTGTTACACAGTGGATGACGTCACATGTTTTTGAGAAAGCAAAGTGGGTGTTAGACAAACCTTGGGTGCCAGGGTCTCTCCTCCAATCTGAATTGTGTGCCAGGGCGTTAGAAGGCTGAGCCAATTCACCAGATGGCTAATCTGTTACCAAGATGACCATTCACAAAACACCAGCATTTTACAACCTGGGTAGACATATTTTTTCTATCCAATTGGAAGCACAAGTATCAATTTCTACATACGCATTTGCCCCACCCTCCTGAGCATGTGATTTTGTTCATACTGGGGCTGTTTAGTTTGCTTCCTGCTCTTTTCCTCTTCTCCATGAGGTCTACACAGCATGATGCTACATGTTTACTGGATTTATGTTGCTGTCAATCACTCTTAGCTGTGGACGTGGTTGGAGGAGCTTCAGAAGGAACTGCTGGATGATGTGTATGCAGAGTCGGTGGAAGCAGTGCAGGACCTGATCAAACGTTTCGGCCAGCAGCAGCAGACCACCCTGCAGGCTACAGTCAATGTCATCAAGGAGGGGGAGGACCTGATACAACAGCTCAGGTGACAACTACTTATACATGCTCTTGTTTGCATATTACAATATATTATTCATTATAGGGTAAGCCACATTATTAAAGTATATTAATCCCTACAATCACAGTCTTTTGAGTTCTATCTATAAAAGTTTAGTAGCATTACCACAACACAAAGAACTCCTGTACCACTGAAAATAACTCAACTAAATACGAAAACTAAGATATAGAGGCCCAATTATGCCTATGCCCAAGGCCTGGCCTGACATTTTTTCTGTGATCTTAAGCAATCATGAGGAAAGAAACAAAAATAAAGCTAAGAAGAAGGATAGAAGGGATTTTCTCTAACGGACCAAGTAAACAACCGAGCAAAGGAGAGGGGAAGTATTTAGAAAATGAAAAAAAAAAAGGGTTTCTTTTACTTCCTCAGGGATGCCACCAAAAGAATTGGGAGCTTCATCTCTGACCACAAATGTGCTGTTCCTCTAAATCCCCTACATTTAACCTTTCCACAGAGACTCAGCCATCTCAAGCAACAAGACTCCCCACAACAGCTCCATGGCCCACATCGAGAGTGTGCTGCAGCAGCTGGACGAGGCCCAGGGCCAGATGGAGGAGCTTTTCCAAGAAAGGAAGATCAAACTGGAGCTCTTCCTGCAGCTCCGCATCTTTGAGAGGGACGCCATTGATGTGAGTAGCAGGAGACGGAGGCTTGGTGCATCAAGAATATTTATTTCAGCTTTATCCTACATGTTCAGGCAAAAAAGAGATTGAGTAAATTAAGTGGAGCAGTGGAAGATTGTGCTGCAAGGGTTTAAAAGAGTAAGAAATGGTTGATATTTAATCAAGCATTTAGGCATGTTGTATCTGAGAAGATAATTACAAGATTAGAGGTGATAATAAGATAGTCGATGTTATAAGTCGAGAGATACACACATAAATGGACCATATTTTCATTTGTGTCGAATAGGCTTTGTAGTGTTTTTCTTAAATGCTGAAAAAGATCAGGTACATATGGCACATGATTAAACCAAAATGACTGTGGCTCTGAGCTGATGGACCGTTACACAGTCACATTGAGATTCAAACCTTGGTTGAATTACAGTGAAACTCTCACGAGTGCTACATTTAAAAGTATTATGTTCCAATTGACGCATCTCATCTTCTGGCAATTACAATTTAGTTGTCCCAGCCCAACCTGAAACTAGCTGCATTGTTTCCGCTAATTCTTTAACAGCCCACAGAGAGAGACTTAATGCTTTTTCTCCGCTTGTGCTTTGATATCTACTTTTTTTAAATATATTTTGTTATTTTTGTCTTGATGTTTAGCATGGCTGTCAAATCATATTTTCTGAACCATGCTCTGTTGACATATAAATGACACTCTGGGGGAATAAGGCTTGGAGAAAAAGTAAAACGTTTTTTATTCAGGAGTATTTTTGCAAGTATTGCTCTAGGGATGCTAGTGTCGGTGTGTCAGGACATTTTCGTCAAATATCTCAATATCTGCTTTATGGTACAACATTTTATAAGAACATGGAACCAGGGATGAACCCTAAATTTAGTTGTTCCCCTGACATTTCACCACCAACACGTTTTGAGTGAAATGTCTCACAACTATTGGATGGATAGGCCTGAAATGTGTTATGTCCCGCTCAGAATGAATTGCATTCACTTGTATGAACTCGGCCCTTTTTATTCCATTGCCATTATTGATTTGTTTAACACTTTAGTTTACACCTGCAAAATGATTGATCTTCCCATTAGGGTAAGCTGTAGTTTTAATGATCTTAAGTGTAAGCATTCCGGTACACTAAACCTAGATGTGGTCATATTAAGCAGAAAAGCACTACTGTGGCTCTACTGCAAACTCATGAAGAACATCTTATGATACAGATTTAAATGGACAACATTTCATCATTATTTGGTTTCTTCTGGTCATAACTTTTGCTTTACCCTTCCTGTGAGCTGGAATTGCTAGATGCAAAAGGAGTAAACTAACTGCACATTGTGCATGGTGTGGAAGTATATGGTGTTTCATCAAATTTCTGCTCATATGAATTATCCTCCACTATGTGCAGATATAAGTTATGTGTCTGTTTTCTTAAGTCCAAAAGCACAGAAAAGTCTTACATTAGCCTTACATGTCGAGTCAGGGAATGGTGGTAAATCTTCTAAATCTCTTGGGTTGAAAACTGAAGTACGCCCACAGATACACACAAAGGATTAGTATGACACAGTGCTCGAGCATGAAGATGGGTGGAGGAGTCATTTGTCTCCCTCCCCACACACACATGCACCGTGACACTCCCTCCTGGTGCATATGGGGGTGTGTGTTGGAGGTGAGGGCATGGGTTGAGGTGAGACCTACACTTGTCTAACGATGTTGTTCTCTCTAACAGTAAACTGTATCAGTGCAAAAGGATATGGTCAAATAGGAGATTTTCTGTACGTTAGTTAGATTCAACAGCGTAAGCATCTGACGGAGATGATCTATTTATACACAGAGGGCATTTTACTCAACTGTAAGAGGAGACGAAAACAGAGTGAAAATAACTGCTTGGTAAGTTTCTAATTTGACGCAAATCTTGTGAAATTACTACAAAATATATTTTAGAGGGTTTTATAATATGTTATTTCTTAAATAAGATAACTCTTATGCTAGCCAAGAAAGTTGTGTTTCTATGTAGAGGAGGCATTTTATCAGGGGAATTATTTTTTAATCCAATTTCTTGGAGTACATGGTCATCAGTAAAGCACACTTTCCTACCTGAACAAAGTAGGGGTCTCTATTGCAAAATAGGTTTGCCTTTTTGTATAAGATTATTAAAGTATAGAAACACTTACAATCACATCTTATTCCTTAAGGCTTTTTTCGGATAGATTAGTTTGTGTATGAGATAAGTTTAAGGATCCAAAATAATAATTGTTCTTCGTGAAACAGCAACCTATTGACAGCTGGAGTTTGAAGGTAAACCCTATGCCGATTGTACCTGACAATTAGAGAGAAGCACAGTTCATTATACTCAAAGGAACCAAGGTTAAGAGAGAAATGATAAGAAACAGTTCTTTAGTTTAAAACTATGTTATGCTCTTATTTATTGCAGAACTATCTGTTGCATTTCATTTGTCCTAACACTTAACTCTTAGTTGTCAGCTATTCTTTGTATTTGCAAGTGACAACAACATAATAGATACACTTAGTCTGCAGTAAAATGTGAATGCTAGAACAAAGCGCAATATTTTGCAAAGTTTTACATTCAATATACAGTTCTGCTGCTGCACTATACATCAAATCTCTGAACAGTAGCACGGTTGGTGTTCTGTTAATTCTGGCTGGGTAAAGTACTTGAGAAATAGCAAATGTAAAAAATAGCTTGACCTGAGACGATTATGCTATCCTTCTTGCTATGAATCTTTTTACTTAACGATTGCTTTTTTATCAGATCTCAGACAACACTCTTCTGTCTCTCTTTTCCTCTCTCGGACTATGTTTATCAGTATTTCCCTATTTTTGTTCTTACCGTACCACAATGAAACACAGTGGACTTTTATCTTCTTAAGTGTCTAAACTAAATAGGACAGCTGCCAAACATCTCATTTAAATTAATGCACTCTGCCACATTAGTTTATAAGGTTAAAAACAGCTGAATGTTGGACGGACACTGGATACAAACCATAAGAAATGTTGGCTTATATCACTGAAGTAACTGAGAGCATGAATGTTGAAATCTGATCAGTTGTGTCTTTCGTAAATCATGTTATGCCAAAGTACTGTAAATGTCAACCTAAAAGGATAAATTAGGACATTTAGATATCATCTCACCAGAACTGGTACACAAATAAAAGCCAGGGGTTCAGTCTATTCCAACACTTCTTGTGGACGTTACACAATATACCTTCCAGTAAAAGGGAGTTCTCAACAGCCCACAACTGGGACAGCTTTTAGTTCATCAAACAACCAAAAGCATGTATTATATACATTTACAGGACAACTACAAAATATAGCTATGGACAATATACAAACTTAAATTGTATTTAAAATGTATCTTTAGTAAAAGTCTTGCATAAATACCTGATTCTTTCTTAAGATGCAAATAAAGCCTCTGCCACATTATGGCAATTTTGTCATAGGTAACTCCAAATACCCCGGAGCAAAAGTTGGGTGCATTTCGAAATGCAGTGTAGACTAGACCTACTAAGTCAGTTTAAAAAGAAATAAAAACATTGACAGACAGAGCTGGGTGGTGCCAGGATCAAGGTGCCCCTGGTATCGTGATTCAGTCTGCGTGGGCAGTCAGAGACAAGCACTGACATCTCAGGACATCTGCTTTAGTAGCCATGCATCACCAGGGTAATATGTTATTTGTTATTATGGCACTCAGCCCAGGGTGTCAGGTAACAGCGATTAAACGTACTGACTTGGTATTCAAAAATTATTTTAATCATACAATTGTATGGATGAATACATGGCTCATGCTGTGCTTTACAGCTCCTTTGAATATTTCTGCTGGTGAATGTTTTTAAAGGTGTTTTTGTCATAGCTATGCAATATTTGCTGCATGAAACCTTCTTAGCTTATATATTAAGCAAGGACCTTTTTCATACATTATTTAATACAATTATTGTCTCCCTTCATTTTTAATATTCATGTTTTTTGTCCTACTACTTATAATGTAACCTTCCTTACTCTGTCATTCTCTTCCCCCCTCTCAGATCATCTCAGACCTGGAATCATGGAACGAGGAATTATCCCAGCAGCTTAGTGAATTTGACACAGAGGACCTACCACTGGCCGAGCAGAGGCTACAGCATCATGCAGACAAAGCGCTAACTATGAACAACCTCACCTTTGACGTCAAGCACCAGGGTCAGGAGCTTCTGCAGTATGTCACAGAAGTACAGGCATCTGGTGAGTGCTGGACAAGAAACAGTAAAGCACCGCAGACATATGCAGGGTCCAGAAATCGCATCATGTTGAGATAAATCAGCCACACATTCAGGTGCACAGATACAAGATGTTTGGCCAAACCATCTATGTCAGAAAGTGTAAGGGTGTAGAAGTGTAGATCTCACTGACGTTATGCAAAGATCCTCTTCAGCAGTAAGACATCTACACTGCTACAGCTAGCTAAATTGCTACTGTAATTGCAGTAGACCTTCCTCTGTGGCTTGCCTCAGGATAATAATAATTTATCAGAGCAAGTCGTGCAGCTCACACAATGCAGGACTTTAATGCGAGTACAGAATTATGCCTGTGCTAAATTTGCTGTGAAAGATTTGTGCTAAAATTGCTTTCACACATTGTTTAGTCAGCTTTCACAAGAGCAGCTTTCGCAGTCTGCATGGCTTTATGTTGTAAAAAAAAAAGTAAGCTCTCTATGCCACCTATGAGTAATTCTCAGAATGTATAATCTATAGCAATCCAGCTATGCTATTCTATAAAGGAACTATCATGAAATTATTTTAATTCCACATAGAGTATACAGTATGGATACATCTTATGACAGATATGTGTGCAAAACTGCTAGATTCCTGTTGATCTGATAATATAATGACTCCTCCTTTGAGAGGAAATCTACATTTTAAACAACTCAAGGTCAGAACAACTCTGAGAAGCATGAGTATAACAATCTGTGGGGTGATTTTATGGAATGTTTTGGAGCAGGAGTTAAAACAAAGCACAAGCATAATTCAGTTTAAAAGGATGTACAGAAACACTTTTTTGGAAAACTATGAGAATGAAGAGAGGTGATTGAAGATGAGAAATTATTGGATATGTATGTATAAATGTAAATGTAAGTAGGAATAACTTGCATAATGATTTAAAGGACAATCATTGATCAAGTAAGGGGTGGGAATTAATAAGCATTTGCTTCCTCCTACTCCCTTTCGGACACATATGATTTTTTATTATTATTATTATTAATATGAAGACTTTTTATGTGGATAAATATTGTATTTTAACAATACGGTATTCTGTTTTTTCACATTTGTTATTTTTTATTTGTTATTTTTTTAATCTGTTCGAAATAAAGATTGAAATGAAATGAACTATTTAACGAAAGGACATAAAAAGACTTGATCTTGGTAACAAAAAAGTGTCTGTTGTTTGCAGGTGTGGAGCTGTTGTGCGACAGGGATGTGGACATGGCCACAAGGGTCCAGGGCCTGCTGGAGTTTCTCCACGAGAAGCAGCAGGAGCTGGACTTGGCAGCAGAGCAGCACAGGAGACATCTGGAGCAGTGTGTCCAATTAAGGCATCTGCAGGCTGAAGTGAAACAGGTACGTACTTGAGAGAAGGACAAGATAGTTTATCAAGGATAGACAATGACACAGCCTGTGATTGGGGGGTGCATGTGTGATTTCAAAAGCACTCTTTTTACTAATAATAATCCCTGTATTAAACTCACAACGTCTGGTTTTCAAACAGCTGAACCATATACTTGAAGCCTATTTTATGAATGATTAACAAATGTTGGAAGTAAAAATAGCTCACACATGAATGCCCACATGTGGTGTGTTTCAGAACTAAACATACCTGGGGCTATCTATATTCTGAGGTCAAACTCACATGTTGAAAGCCCTTCTGACAATTTATTGCTACAGCGTACCATGAGGTTACAGCAGAGTAGGGTGCTAAAAGGCAACAGCATGTTCTGTCTGTACATGACCATGGTTGGATGACTCATCCCGTGTCAACAATCGTTCTCCATCTTCTTTCTTTTTTTTCTGTCTCTCTGTGTAGCTACCTGACCTTGGCGAATAGTCTGAGCGATATAGTTTGGTTGGATGTTCAGCCAAGGTTTAAAGAGAGAAGAGCAGGTGGAAATTGGAAAGGAGAGACATATAGAGTATCTGACTTGACTGGGAGTGAAATAGATGGAATTTGTTATTGTATTAGTGAATAGCAACTACTGATTCTCTTTCAATTTCAGTAGCTGAATACAAGCACGGCAGGAAAATGTGAGTTTGCAATGTAGCATGCTGATGTTTCGATGGAAAACAAAAACAAACAGAGAGCCAATTTATCATACCCAGGCATGTTCTCCTAGTAATTCTGCCAAAAAACAACAGGCTTTAGTTCTCAACCTTCAATAGAGTATTAAATAGTTGAAGAGAAAGTGCAATTAAACATATCACAAGATGCACTGCCGTTGTATTTAATGAACAGACCTGACAGAAAGATGATAGTGTGGTGCCAGTATGATGCTGGTGTTATTTTGACTCATCTACCCACAGAGAGGCAGTGTATGCAGCAATGGACTGGCACAGAAATATATCCATATCTGTTGAGCAAATGGGGATTTATAAATCAGAATTGTCTAAAGCGGTGGCTTCTGTTTTTTGTATTATGATATTTGTATTTTAAATATGCTTAAACCACTTTGAGACATATCATTAACTAATTTCCAACTTGTCACATGAACTGTTCAGATTTCATTGTACAATAAAGCTCAAATGCCTCTGCCTTACTCTCCCATGCAATACAATCTGGGAAATAACTCTGTTAGACTAAAGTTGGACACAACCATAATCTGGTAATTGTAGCCTCCTGACTTATTTATAAATGTCATGGCCTTTAAATCCTGACCAGAGATTACTAATGCACTGCAGTTGCTATAGTGTTTCCTTTTCTTTGGCTTAACATTTCCCAAACCAAGATACTGTTACTTGTGAGAACTGCTTTTCGTTTGCATTTAAAACATTACACGGTTTAAGAATAGAGATTGACGAAAGAGCAACCAGGATAAAAATCTCTCCAAGTAGAGTAGAGTGAAGTCGGTTGTAGTGGTATAATGAAATTGGAATATATTTTGTTGACTGGGTATGCCATACCAAACTCATGAGTCAGATACAGGTATGTACTCATTATTTCTGATGTTGCTGCTGTTTGTTCAAGCATTATGTCATGTGTACATACCGCTCCTCTGATTTTCAGCAGTTAACACTCATACCTGTCTTGCCTCAGGTCATGACAAGTGCAATGGAAACATAGGCTTTGCTAAAGTTGCTGCAAAACAAGTGTCAGAGTTGTGTTTCGTCATCGCTTTTACAGCGAAGCTTCTGTTGTAGTTCTGCCTCTCACCCACGCAGCAGGTGTGCTGGCTGAGTCACAGAGAAAAGAGAAATGTCATTTTAACAATGCCCTTTGGCTACAACTACAGCCAGCAAAACTACAGGGGAAAAATTGGATAATGTGCGTATGGCCGAGTGTATTTTAACACTATATATTACGTACAAAGGGGAAAAATGACTACCTAATAGATTGAGTCAGTAGGTAGGGAAACATGCTCAAGGTGAAGTTCAAAGAACGTCAGGAAAAGATTGAGGATGCAAGGGAATGCAGAGGTGTCTGAGTTAGAGACCCAATGGAGAATTGTATGAAAAGAAAATTAAACGAGGAAAAATAAAAATATGGGGAAGGAGCGTCATAGAGCTGAAAAGGAAAGATCAAATGAGAACATAGAAGATTGACACATTTCCCAAAAAGACAGCTTGTACCTTTTTTGAAGTGATTATTGCATTTTTCATAGCATTTAGTTCAAATATCACAGTTCAAAAAGAGTAAATAATAACCAAAGTCTTTGTGTTGTGTATTTTAGGTGCTGGGTTGGATCCGAAATGGAGAGTCCATGCTGAATGCTGGTCTGATCACAGCCAGTTCGTTACAGGAAGCTGAACAGCTGCAGAAGGAACATGAACAATTCCAACATGCAATTGAGGTAAAATGACAAAACGTATAAATCGTTTTTTCTTCTAGATCTAATTTCAGATTCTATTAATAAATCATTTAAAAGCATCAAGTCGTTGTCCATGGGATTCCTACTTTCAGTGATCTTCTGTTCTTCATACCTGTGACCCTATTATCCTCAACTTCCTTTTCATCGTATTTCTCTTGGTTCATCTCTGTATCCTCTATTCCTCATATTAACCCACTGCTGCATCTCCTCTGCATTGTTGCCCTTCATCCTTCAACCTTTTGCCTTTCTAAAACTCTTCTCAGGTTCATATGCGCTCCACTGCTTCCCCTTCTCATCACACATGAAATGGAATTATAAATATGTAATATCTCTACCTCCTTTTTTCCCCTTATTCTGCTTACCTATCGCCTTTATTTCGTTTCTCTCTTTACTACTGATTATTCAGGGTGGATTTCCTTTGAACTCTGTCAAGCCTGGCTCATATTAATGCGGGTCTTTACCTGACCTACTTCTTCAGAGCTTACATACAAAAACTGAAACGGGTCCCGTGTGGTGAGAAAAGAGCAATTGATATTGAAAGGTCCTCATTGACAGTACACAGCAGGTGCTCCTAACATTCCTAAATGGGACAGGAAGCCCTTCATTCTTCCTTTATCTCCTTATCTTTTCCTTTCCTTTAGTGCTATCTCAGTCTACCCGCTATGCCACAGAAATACCAGATACTGTCCATATTTATCTCATTTCCTCTGCAGACTGCTCACCTCAGGACAATTGTTATGTCATAGCTTTAATCATGTGCAGCTTTTATTTATGTAGCCTGTCCTCTGTTGCTTCCAAACAGCCCTACAGGGTACAACAATGAGCCAGGGTTGTATTTTTAAAGTAATCATTGTGGCATAGTGATTCATGTAACTTGAATTTCATTGTTGTTTTTTTGACTCCCTCTTATGCAGAAAACCCATCAGAGTGCACTGCAGGTGCAGCAGAAGGCTGAGGCCATGCTCCAGGCAAACCACTACGACATGGATATGATCAGAGACTGTGCAGAAAAGGTAATGCTCGCTTGCAATTGTATACATCTCTGAAAGAACATTTGAAAAGGGGAAAAATGCAGTGTGGTTGCTATTTTAAGGCTGCAGGTGGTAAACTGATTTGTTTTGTACGATTTGAAGGTGGCAGACCACTGGCAGCAGCTCATGCTGAAAATGGAGGACCGGCTGAAGCTGGTGAATGCGTCTGTGGCTTTCTACAAGACCTCTGAGCAGGTAATCTTCCGTTTCAGAGGTTGCATCCAAGTCTTGTGAAGTCGAAGGTGGTTTCATGTACCGTTTGATCTGTGTTTCAGGTGTGCAGTGTGTTAGAAAGCCTGGAGCAGGAGTATAAGAGAGAAGAAGACTGGTGTGGCGGCGCAGATAAACTCGGCCCTAACTGCGAGTCAGACCATGTCACTCCCATGATCAGTAAACACCTGGAACAGAAAGAGGCCTTCCTCAAGGTGAAAAAGTCATTTAAATGTATATTAAAGAAATGCCATCAATATTTTATTAGTTAGAAGGTTATTGCTATTGACTAATTACAAGTTGCATTTGTTCTCATACTGCTCACTCACAGGCCTGCACGTTAGCCAGACGCAATGCTGATGTCTTCTTGAAGTATCTGCACAGAAACAGTGTCAACATGCCCGGCATGTTGTCCCACGTAAAAGCTCCGGAGACTCAGGTTAAGAGTAAGTAGTAGCTTTTTGCTTCTATCATTCAAAACATTTTATCAAGTTATCTGCTTATTCAACTTTTTCTATCCAGATGTCCTTTATTTATTCACAGGATTATGAATGCAGGTGCCCCTTTATAATGCTGACGTACATGAAAAACTATTCAATAAAAGTATTTTGTGTTTTTTCATCAGACATCTTGAATGAGTTGCTGCAGAGAGAGAACAGAGTGCTCCACTTCTGGACCATGAGGAAGCGCAGGCTGGACCAGTGCCAGCAATATGTGGTGTTTGAACGCAGCGCCAAGCAGGTGGGTTATTGTGATAGTGTACTTCACTGTATGTACAAACAGAGTAGGCACAAATTAGGCTTAGGTGATCGGGTACGGTTCTGAAACTTAAGTCTGCAAGTTGACATTTCATACAGCTGCAACTTCCATCTTGATTTTATTCTCTTTTTAAACCAAGCGGTCTGTTTTTCTAAGTAATGATACATTTAAAATATGTTGGAAGTAATGTAGGCTGGCAAACACTTTGCAACAATGACGGTCTAAGAGACGCCTATCATTATGTGGCCCAGTACATTTAAACACCAGGTTTATTACACAGCATTGCCAAAGATAACTCCCAAACTACTCTTTTTATCTCCCCCCTTAGGCAATACTGAACATATCGTCTACTGGTATTTTCATTGTAAAATGTTTTAGAAGAATAGGATATCTTATCTAGGATCATAGGTAAAATCACAAAAACACTCAATAGTTCTCAGTAAAGAAAAGTCTACCAACAGCAGTGGTTCAAAGATACAAGGACCTGTGAAAAGGACAGATTTTGGAAATGAGAGTTTTCACTTGCAGCCAGTATCTCATCACACACCACAGACTGAGCTGAGTTTTTACTTAAATGTGACGTTGACTGCTGGAAACTCTATTATTCTCGAAAAGCCACAGCATCTGTGGCACTTGGCTTTTAATTATGCCCTAGTGTACCATGTGTAAGGCTGTTTAAATGCAGACCCTTTGCTCCCTCTTGTGGTGTGTGGATAGCAAAGCACAGGCACACAGCAATGCGCTAAGCCAATCAAATCAGATGACATCATGGATGTTTCTAGGACATTGCTATTCTAGGGGGATCCAGGTTTTATCCCCAGGGCAAAAAAATGCTTTCTGGTCTCACAGTTTGACTAGACCAGTTCTGCCACTGCTGGTCAGAGCCTGCAGGCCCAGGTATATACTATACCTATGTGTTTACTTTATACATGCTTACTGTATATATACATAAATAGAAAATGCTTTCAGTAGAACCTTTGGAAACTGAATGCTACACATTTATAAACACATTTAAAATGTTTAGCATATTGTTCTAAATATATTTCCTGTATGATATTACACAATGGTGGCTTTTACACGTTCTAATCCTGAATTACCATAAGGTAAACTGTACAGTGAAAAAAGGCATATCAAGTAGGGATCAGTTCAAATGTAAACGAATGTCCCACTAGATTTGAGAGGATGAAGAGGATAATGACGAGTGTGTTAAACTGCCTATTGGCTTTCATTGTATTGAAGTAATTAAAGGTAACCTGTCGTGGGTCTTGGGATTTGAAAAGTTAATAGGGAAGTACCATTGTGTAACTAAAATCCTTGCAGTGTTAATGAACTCATTCGTTATTGGTTTTGTCCTCAGGCCCTGGAGTGGATCCATGACACCGGGGAGTTTTACCTGTCCACACACACATCCACCGGCTCCAGCATTCACCACACACAGGAGCTGCTTAAAGAGCATGAAGACTTCCAGATCACAGCAAAGGTACGTGAGTTCATTTATGTTTATATGTTGATCTATTATAGTGTTAAAAAAGGTTGAAATAGTAGAGACTTTACGTGTGTATTGTGTGCCCGTTGCTCTGCTCGTTGTGTGTGTTTGCCCCATCCTGCGCTCTTTTGTGAGGCCCATTTCCAGGGCAGTGTATTGTCCCCTTCCCTCGTTGCAGTGTCACTGTTATTGTGTTAGAGAACAAGCTATTGTGTCCATCGAGCAACACACTAATTCCCAACTCTCTCTCTCTCTCTCTCTCTCTCTCTCTCTTATCTACCTTTCCTCCACTGGCTCTGGCTCTCTGCGGCCACCTCTCTTCTCTCTCTGTCCCCTCCCTAAATGTCTCTCTATTGACAGCAAACCAAAGAGCGGGTAAAGCTGTTGATCCAGCTGGCGGATGGGTTTTGTGACAAGGGCCACGCCCATGCTCTGGAGATAAAGAAATGGGTGTCCTCAGTGGACAAGCGCTACAGGGACTTTTCTCTCCGCATGGACAAATATCGAACCTGCCTGGAAACGGCGCTCGGCATTTCTTCCGACTCCAACAAAGCTGTGAGTTCACACCGTTGATACAAATTAAAAAAGAAAAGAGATATAAGTGATTTGACAAACTTATTCATATACCAAATCCTAAACCTTGAGATTATTCTCTGTAATTGAAGCATACAGAGACCCAGCTGTTGATTCTCTCCATGTCTGCAAGAGGTTATAGTAAAAAATCATGTTTAATGTGATTCATTTAATCATACAAACTACCCCTGGATTTTATTGTTCTGTATTTTCAAGAGTAGGCCCTTGCACCAGGTGGTCAAATTCAGATGGTTATTTGAGACTGTTGAATTTCAACTGCTGTCCCTATTTACATTTCATCTCCCAGCAGTTCAATTTAATGAACTGGTGCGAAGAGAAAGCAAAAGCATCACACATTGGAGTGTTGACTGGTGAATGGCTTCCATGCCTGTTGTGCAGAACATAAAAGCCACTGTGTCCTTTTCAGAGTAAAGGTCTGCAACTGGACATTATCCCAGCCAGTGCCCCAGGGTTAGAGGTCAAGCTGAGGGATGCCGCCCATGAACTCAACGAGGAGAAGCGGAAGTCAGCGCGAAGGAAAGAGTGAGTGCAGCAGACATTTCTCTGGCACATTCTCGACTGATTGCCACCGGGTGTTAAGCATCACAGATTTTCTATCACATGCCTGGAAAAATGCATCAATGAATAATTCAGTGAATTCCTGAATACATAGAAAGACATATTATTTTTCAGTTTAATTGTATTGTAGAGCTGTGGCTTGGCTTTCATTTCAAATTGTTTGATGATAATAAGGAATTATCAGTTCATGCAAATGAATCAAATGAGCACAGCACAGTGATGATGAAATGTTCAAATTAAATCAAATGGAGATGGAACATATGTTGCGCGTAAGAGGAGCCTCATGAGTATTTATCACAAGTGTGCCTGACTTTGTATATAATATCTTTAGTCATTAGTTTAAAATGTTTTTTGGAGGTAATTCAAACATCAGGGAGTGTGAACAGCCTGTATATTACAGTCCATATGTTCACAAGCCATATGTGAGCCCTATTACAGCAGAAATGTACAAGGCAGAGCTCGGGGAAAGTCCATTGAAGTCTATTTACTATGCATCTGCATATAGCTACAGCACTACCACAGTAGTTTACAAAAGAATGTAGAAACAGTAAAGCAGAGTGAACCTTCAACATTTTAAATGCTTATACTATTTGTTCCCCCACACACTAGTCTTTACAACAGGTTTGACTTGTGTTTAGTTACAGTATGTACAGCCCCTGCCCGTTGTTCATCAGTGTTTCCCCTGTGCATGTCCTTTCAGATTTATAATGGCTGAGCTGATTCAAACAGAGAAAACTTACGTCAGAGACCTACGGGAGTGTATGGATGTAAGTATTGTAGTGAACACAGACACGTACATCAGCATTCACCTTAAGAGAATGTTAAAGTGTTTTCACTTATCGGTGTTTCACACTTATAGTAATTTGACTAAGTCATCTAAATCATCCCACTGTGGTTTTTAAACAATTGTATATAGCTTTTATTTGTTCCCTTGGTTCTTATTGCATGAATCTTTTATTTTAATTTCTTTTACTTTCCTCTTTCAGCTAATTAAACATTTTCTTTAGATATTTCAGTGGGTTTCTTACAAATAAGACAATGGAATAAATGTGTTTAATGCAAAAAGGTTGTTCTTCTCTCTGTCAAATTAAAATGAATATCTTTGATCTTGTCAGATTAGTTGGTACAAATACATGTCTAGGTTTTTAATGTGTGTGTGTGTGTGTGTGTGTGTGTGTGTGTGTGTGTGTGTGTGTGTGTGTGCACACAGACGTACCTGTGGGAGATGACCAGCGGAGTGGAGGAGATTCCTCCTGGTATTGTTAACAAGGAACACATCATCTTTGGAAACATGCAGGACCTCTACGAGTTTCATCACAAGTCAGTAGAGCAGTCTTATGCTGCATTCTGTATTCTTTACCATTGACATGTATTATATGACAATGTATTGTAAAATACACATTTTAAGTTGCTCTTTTTACAGGATAAGTAGATTTACCACATCAGTTACTCGGCTTTTCATTGTTCCTCTCTCTGTCTCTGTACAGTATCTTCCTGAAGGAGTTGGAGAAATATGAGCAGCTTCCAGAGGATGTCGGCCATTGTTTTGTGACTTGGGTATGAGATCTACAAGTTGTTACATGACTTGTTAATATACCTTTTATTCATCAACATTTACAAGTTGTACCATCCTTCTTTTGATTTATATAATAAATACCCAGAACATATACACTACACTAGAGCAGCTTCCTCCTCTAGTATAAATGTTTCCTAAGTAATCTCTTTATACAAAAATGTACACTAGACTGGACCTACAGTATGGGCTATTACACCCACGTGTTTATCTTGCATCCGAATATTTTGATATCCTGTGACTAAAGTACTGGTGTTTTTCCCCTGCTCAGGCTGATAAGTTTCAGATGTATGTGAACTACTGTAAGAACAAGCCCGACTCCACTCAGCTCATCCTGGAACATGCTGGACCTTACTTTGATGTAAGTCACTACCAAAACTGCTTCATGTATGATCAAATGTAACTTTAGATTTAGGATTAATCAGTTGTTGTTTTGAGTAATGAATGTGTTTATTTCCCCTTTTGATTTGCAGGAAATCCAGCAAAGGCATCGGTTGGCCAACTCCATCTCCTCCTACTTGATCAAACCTGTCCAGAGAATCACTAAATACCAGCTGCTTCTCAAGGTACTGCATGCTGTAGGAACAAAATCCCTTAACACAATCACAAATATGTTCTTTACTACTTCATTTGAATCTCACTCTGTGTGTGTGCCTCTGGTTGTTGTCTTCATGTAGGAGTTGTTGACATGCTGTGAGGAGGGTAAAGGGGAGATAAAGGACGGTCTTGAAGTCATGCTCAGTGTCCCAAAGAGAGCCAATGATGCCATGCACCTTTCTATGCTGGATGGTAGGTATACACACACACACACACACACACACACACACACATCCATCTGCTATTTATGGAACTCAATTATTTTGTATTCTGAGTGTGTTCCGAGTGACAGTTGTTTCCTATTAATTGAACTATTTCGCTTTTGTGAATGTCACCACTTCACTCCTATTTTGCACAAATTAATCAGCTGTGAGTCAGCAGTGACTTCATTCACCTTGCTTCCATTTGCCACCCACAAACATGTCTGTACATACTGTACATGCATGCTCACACCACTCAATGGCATTTTCTTCCCCTGTCTTCACTACTTCAGGGTTTGATGGGAACATCGACTCCCAAGGAGAGTTGATACTTCAGGATTCCTTCCAGGTATGGGATCCCAAGACTCTGATCAGGAAGGGTCGAGACCGACACCTCTTCCTCTTTGAGATGTCTCTGGTCTTCAGCAAAGAAGTCAAAGACTCCAACGGGCGCAGCAAGTACCTGTATAAGAGCAAGCTCTTTGTAAGTAATCTACTGTTTGATCACACTTTATCATTTCTCCATCCCCTACCAATTTGGACAGAAAATAAATGAACTCAGATGTATTTTTAACCTAACTCAGGCAATATATGGATAATGCTAGGAAGCTATGGATGTATCAAACATAATGATAAAACCACAAACTCATCTCATGGTGATAGTTTACACCAGTTTTAATAGCTGCACCGGCACGGTCCTTTCTGTCTGTTGAAGCTTGTGTTTCTAATGTTATCAGACTCATCATCAGGTAGATTTGATGATTGATACAAAATAAACGTCGACAAATAAGTTCAACCTTGATCTAATTAAGACTGAATCTAGCTAAAAAGTGTCTTAAGACTTGGTTTGATTTAGAATTAATTTTTGATTTTTGGGGGGGATGGGTTTGCTGGAAGACCTCAATGACACAGTTCTTATTTTGGTTACACGTTTTAAAAAAAAAAAAAATTCAATGGGAGTCTGCTGACATGTTTATTCTACCCCTCAGACATCAGAGCTTGGGGTGACAGAACATGTGGAGGGAGATCCTTGTAAGTTTGCCCTGTGGGTGGGCAGAACCCCGACCTCAGACAACAAGATCGTCCTCAAGGTATGTTCATTTTAATTGGGAAAATAAGGGGTCATTGGTCAGTGCATAATATATTATTTCATAATATAAATTTCAAGAAACATCTTTGTATCATTTGAAGTATTTTACAACAGTATCTGTAACAAATTATCAATTAAAGACTGAGAACCAAATATTTTGTCCCCTCATGAGAAGCTTTACTTCCCCTCCGGGAATGTACTAAGTGTAAAATAGACCATCAATAAGATTCCTCTAAAGGTGACTTTTCTTGTGCACACATAAAGAAGAAAAGTCACCCGTGTCTGTGGACAACCTCCACTGAATCCTACATAGTCCCCTCTGTTCAGCCAAGAAAGTTCACTCCCTGTACGGGGGTGGAGTGTTACTTTCTGCTACTTATTCACCCATCACTCAGAAACATTAGCATAGCAGTTGATGGGTCATAATCCAAACTCACAAGCAACTTGGTAGCTCTCACATTGTGAGTCAGAAGCAATATTTTATGCAGGGTGTTCAGGAGTGTTTCGTTTTGAGACTGACAGAGAGAACGAGTCAAATGTGTGGATCCCAGTGTATGTGTTACGATGTGTGAATGTGTGCTTTACAGTTTTCTGTCTAATTACATAAATTCCTTTTGAATCTGTGTCTTATACAACACGGTGCCACTGCAGCCATGGTGCTGCTAGTTGCTAAGGGAAGGAGGAAGATAAGACACAGATAAGCTTCATATGCTAAATGCACTTTTGCATTGGCTCAGTGACGTCAATTAACAGGAGGCGGCGTCTCTCTGTGGAGCCCTAAGTGGAGTTATGGAGACACTTATCATTCTCGTCATCATTTCACATTGTGTCTGAATATGGATGTGTGACTCAATCATGAGGTTGCAAGGATCAAAGCGCTCAGACAGGGCTGTATAATTGCTTAATTAAATCTGATTCTGCGTCATGGGTTAGCAATTAACAGTGAGACCCTTCAGGTGAATAGGGTATACATTTTAAACATACTGATATCACCATTTAACTTTCCCAGTTATAACACAAAGATGGTTCTTATTTGTGTTTGTGAATCTGCAAATTTTACATTATAATTGGCATACATTTCCAAAACATAATCAGAAAATCAAAAACAATTCCCTGTTTCATTTTGTTGACATATCCGTGAAAGGTATTTTTGATATTCCCTTGTATTACTCCATACGTTAGAAGATTCTAAAGAACCATTAAAAAAGCTTTCTGAGGAATGTTATATAAATCAAGTTATGATGATACCCAATTGTGTGTTGTGTCTCAGTCTTCAAGTATTGAGAACAAGCAGGACTGGATCAAACACATCCGGGAGGTCATCCAGGAGAGAACGGTGCACCTGCGCGGAGCTCTGAAGGAGCCCATCCACATCCCTAAAGCCACCACAGCTAAACACAAAGGCAGACGGTAAGCTGAAAGTGCATCACTCTGATGTCATTTATGTTGCCTTCAAAAAAGTATATTTTGGAAAAGGCATTTGTCTATGCAAAACATAATACAAAAAAATACATCAATACCATTTTTAACAATATTACTTGAGTTAACCATTAAATGCAAATAAATAAAAGTGACACTACAGAGCAAAGCAGATCTTAGAATCCTGGCTCTAATGTATCGATAAATCATAAGGATTATGTTATAATAATATAATGACAGTAATATTTCCTTCAGGGATGGAGAGGATCTGGACAGCCAGGGAGACGCAAGCAGCCAACCGGATACCATCTCAATCGCTTCACGAACATCCCAAAATACCCTGGACAGTGATAAGGTACGATCACACACACACACACACACACACACACACACACACACACACACACACACACACACACACACACACACACACACACACACACACACACACACACACATACACACACACACTCACACTATTCATCATCCCCAAAATGTACTGGGCAGCACACCGTTTTTGTTTTTCATATGTTCCCCCTTATCTTTAACATGCAACAGACTATTGAGTTCTCTCAGTCAAAATGTATCTACTCTCTCATTGGTCCATATCATGCCATCACACATCCGAAGCTGCAACCTCGTTACATACATGCAACTCTCCTCGAGTTGTTTCCTGTGATGATGTTGGATTGTGTTAGGGGGAACAAACCGTCCATCTGACAGTTTGGTGTGTGTGTGTGTGTGTGTGTGTGTGTGTGTGTGTGTGTGTGTGTGTGTGTGTGTGTGTGTGTGTGTGTGTGTGAGAAAGAGAGAATCTCTTTGCTGTGAACATGTAGAGTCGGCTGTGGTTATATCTGGTAATAGCACCACAGAAGGCATGTCCTCCTACGCTCAGTATGAGCAACTATAAAGCCAACACACATCCACATACCAGAACTCATAGATAAACACATTATATTTATGCTTTTATGTCATATTAATTATAAACTGTAGCGGTGGACTCTTACATGTGGTCTTAACTTTCACACTTGAATTGGACTTTCCCCAGCTCTTCCTAATACAGTTCTACTGTTAATAGTGTGTTCACTGTCACTGTTAAGTAAACTGTTAGCCTTAAGCTAGCTCTGGGGTTGGTTCATGACACCAAAGGTTGAGGAGGTGAGCACTGTGTTTGTGTTCATGTGTGTTTAGCCACTTCAGTAAAAACTATTCCACACTAATTAAATATTGAGAGTTATCTCCGTATACTCACAAGCTCTATCATTTAAAACACACATCACACATGCAAGTATACATTTTGCATCTCTATCTCGCTGTTTGAATGCTTCTCTCTATCTCTCTCTATGTGAGGTCTCTCTGTGGGACCTCTCATTCAAGAGACGGTGACAGTGGTGTGTTTGTGCTAGTGTGTGTGTGTGTGTGTGTGTGTGTGTGTGTGTGTGTGTGTGTGTGTGTGTGTGTGTGTGTGTGTGTGTGTGTGTGTGTGTGTGTGTGTGTGTCTCTGCTTTAGTGAGTGACTTGTGTGTCAGCAGCTTCAGCCTCCCACGCTCCCTTCACAGAGGATGCTCGTCTGTATGCCAGACAGGAGAGCACAGTTTGAAGTCCTCACAGCTATCGATCTCACACTTTGCTTTAAACATAGAAAAACTCAGGCAATGTTTTTTTTCTCCACATTTCACAGAGTGTTTTTTTATTTATCAATGGACATTAGTGAGCTTAATTGTGACAAGACTTGTTTAAAGACACGGATGGATTAACTGCTCCGCTCCGGGGAAGAGACACACAGCAGGGAATAATTTAAGCTTCAATAGTCTGATTGTAAGAACCCACAGAGGAGTGCTGTTGGCCGTAACGGTGGAGGACAGCAACTTTTCTTCTAGCCTGGGGAGGCTCTCATGGATCAGGATTGTAATTATCTGGGGCTGTTTTCCCAGGGGAAATATTCCATAAAATGTTTAATCAATTATATAATTTTCCAGCTTGTGCTTAGTAGGCAACTGCAGATTTTGATTTAGGAGATTTATAGGTGTTTTCTCTAAAAATCAGACTGCTGTAGGTTTTTTTTATTTTGGATTTATCTTGGATTTATCTTGCAATGCGGGAGTGGAAAACAATGCAGAGGCTGGAGGACAGGATCTCACATCCCGTTTCCCAACTCCTAAGCTCTCTGGCTTTGCCACACTATCAAAGGGTATGTTGCAAATAATGTGCTTTGCTTTAATTTAACAAAAAAATAACAATGATGTGGCTTAAACAAAGTGAACATCTTTGAAATGATAAATGTTATCTACTTTGGTTATAAAGGAAACAAGATACTTGGCACACTTTCCTCATCTGCTATTAGTTAATATTTGATATAATTGCTCAAAATATTCTTAAATGTCACTTGTTCTTAGAGAATGTAACAAAAAATACATTAAATTAAAATGCTAAGGCAATTGATTTGAACTCTTTCACAGACAAAAAAAGATAGTACGGTATATATTATTTTGTAATTCATATTTGTACATTTATTTCATTTGCAGTCTCGTGTTCAACATAAATACCAGTGAGCATGTGACTAATTCCACCTGGTTTCACCTCTGTTTATAAACGCCACCAATTCATAGAGACTTAAATGATTCCTAGATGAGTGGAGTCAGATGTTCAGAGTGATGTTTTGTGCTAGAGTGAGTCATCAATCATCAGTGCATTCACATTTTGACTTTACGGTGCTGCTGAAGTACCTGTGCTGTGATCAGAGGAGGTAGTGTGGGAATATGTACTTTGTGTTCTCAGAGTCCATTCATTAATTTGAGTGGTGTCGTGTAAGTGTTCTTTCTGAATGACAGTGGTGGGGCTATTATCTGGACTCTATGATTAAGTTGAAGTACTAACTGCATTCATGCTTTCTGCAAACGAGAACGGTATAATGATCAAATACCAGTATCTGTTAACAGGTAATCATTAATAGGTTTTCAAATAAATATTTTTTTCCATTTCAGCTTTCCGGTGGCTGTGAGTTGACGATGGTGATCCATGACTTTCTGGCCAGCAGTGGAGGTGGCAGCGGGGAGCTGACGGTGCGGCAAGGCCAGACTGTGGAGGTTCTGGAGCGTCTCCACGACAAGCCGGACTGGGTCCTGGTGCGGACCACAGACCGCTCTCCGGCCCAGGAGGGCATCGTGCCCTGCGCCATGCTCTGCATCGCTCACTCCAGGTCCTCCATGGAGATGGAGGGGCTCTTCAACCACAAAGGTAGGATGACATTGTTTTCATACCAACACCGGCATTATTGTCATATTAAGGGACATTTAGGAACATCAGAACATTAACAAAAGCTATTCTTAGCTTGGTGGACTGCACAATCTCTGTATCCCACCCAACAGCTGCTTGTCACAATCATCGTATTTGCAAACACCTCATTGGTGACCTGCAGCTCCTTCACTTCTCACCAAAGTGCTGGGGATGCACGTACATGTATTTTTGAGTGTTGCTATGCAACTGTGAAAACCCCACTTAAAGCGCAGCTCTCTTTTAATTATCTTAAAAATGAATTTCACCTTTGAATTTCCAGCAATGTTGATATCCACAGATCGTGTTACTGTCAGAGAGCCTTATGACGCAGCGGCATTTCCCTCCATGGTAACACAGAGGAAATATTACACAACCAGATTCTGCATCTGTTGTTGTGCCCAAAGGGTCTTATTAAGATGAGACAATAACGTGGACCCCAAGGTTGTTTCCTGTATGTGTATGTGTGATTTTTGTTAGAAAAGTGGCACACACATTATTAATTCACAAGTCTTGGGCTCCAAAAATTAGGAGGACAAAATGTTTATTTGACATTATGGATACAGGGTTAAAGATTGTAGTTCTTCGTATACAAAAATGGTTTGATTTATTATAACAGTGTTTCCTTGCAGTGCAAATTTGATTATGATGGCTGTGTCTTGTAACTAGATCCCATACTTTTATACCCTTTTATTACATGGCTTAGTTGAATAGTCGATTCTGATTGGTCAATTCAGAACACGTGACACGTTGTTAATCCAGAAAAGACAGACCGCTGTCAAGGAATTATTGACCGTTGTTAAGGACGCTCACATCCGCACAAAGAAGTCCGTTCGATTTAACTGTATACAGTTGGTCTGAAAAGTAAACTGCATGCAGTTTGCTTTTCATTACGAAAAGCAAACTTCGCGTCGGGCTCCTGATCAGCCTGTCGGTGTTCTTTTTCCCCGTAATGACCGCGTCGCTGCACATTATCCCTTACATAATAGTCAACATTATTCCTGCAAAATATGTGAGCATGTATTCAGTTCATGTCCTCTGCCAAAGGCCCCGTAGCTGGCTCAGGTGACTGATCAGTATTGTTGCACTGGTCATGCTTCCTTTATCCAGTAGGTGTGTCTAATGTCAGACCTGCTGCTATCATGTTCCATATTCTTGTGCACTGTTGTTAGATCTGCCTCTCTGAGGTTACTGTTTTCTTCTTCATGTGAACTAGTCCATATTCCACCATGGTTTGATGTAAAAACATCTGGCATCTTACTGTTTAATTAACTTAATATTTTTGTTTCATGTCTGCTATTGGGCCATTTAAGGCATTGCAGTGGGTCCACTCTTACGTTTTAAATATATATATTAATAGATAATGAGTATACTAGATTTTATACAGTACACAATACTGCAAAACAAAGAATACATATAGCTGACAGAAGTGAGTAAGAGGACAGGACTCTATAAACAGACATGACCCTCATTTGACTCTTGGTTCGTTTGAGAGATGAGTTGCTGTCATTCTGCGTGTGCCTTTGTAATCTACAAGAGTGGGTGAGAGCTGTATCGCTTGTTTCTATGGTAATATAGAATACCAATATTTTGCTGGCAGCTTCTTTGTAGTCAGTAGGAGAAAGTTATGAATTTAAAATGATAGTTTGCTTGTACATACCCGCACTCACACCTTAAGAATGACCTTAATAACAATACAGCACAAGAACGGTTGAATTCTCCAATTACTCATTATATACTTTCTACTGTGGCTTCACTGCCTTTCATCTCTGTTTTCGTTACAGGGGCTCCTGTTTTATCTGGCTTTCTTTGGTGCCTTGGTTGAGCCTAACAAGCCATCACTGTTTGAATCTGTGTGTTTGTGTGGCCAGTAGGAATGATGAAAAGGAGCTTCTCACTACATGGGGCATGCTGTGGTTAAAAAAGGCTGTTCCTGAAAATCAGGATGACAAAACTGTCTTTGCTACTTTGTCAGCCCTTTGTGTCTACAGACTAACCATGTAGCCCACTTTGTCCAAAGTTGTGGTAGGCTGACGGTTTAGGGGATTATTGTTGTCTGGGAAATCCCCCTTTTTCCTGCTGTGTCCCACAAGCAGGAATAATTGACTGTTGGAGGCCAATGTTTGTTTAGAGTAGAATTGAATGGTTCACATACAGTAGGATTAGTCTGCAAAGTGTGAAGTTGGCAGCTGGTTTTCTGCTCTTTTTATAGGATGTGTGAAAAAAACAGTAGCTCACATCTATAGTGTTCAATGCATTTTTATTTTAAATGTTCATTCAAGTCCTGTGTTGTTTGGCTGGCAGCTGTAACCTGAGCAAACCTACACATTCCTGGTTAATCAAGTTTTGAGCACTTTCATTTACACACTGGTCATATTTTTCATCTTATTACTGGAGTTTCCCCATTTGCCGAAGCATGCAGGTTGACATTCAGTGCTTCTCGTAATGAAATAAATACAAAGGTACAAACTTAATGACAGTGTTATCGTTAAAAGGACTCAGGAGCAGCGAGTAAGTGCAGGCCAGTGCACGAACAAGTGTGTGTGTGTTCTTACAGGATATAGTGTGTTTAGAGCACAGGAAAACACACGCACACAAACACACACTCACAGTTACAGGTAGATCTTTGTGTATCTAGCCTGCATAGCTACTCTGGACTGCACACTGTCGCATAAAGTAAAGATGTAGGAATATTGTGTAGAGAATACAGTATCTAATAGTTATTCAGACCCCTGTGGAGATTCTAAATTATAGAAACATTTTGTTTCTCACTTCTCTTGGATTTCATAACCTAGTCTATATTTGTTCCAAGCATACTGCAAAACTTGCATGTATCTAAATGCCTGTAATATATGCACCCGCCCACACAAAGTGAGTGGGTGCTTCTACAAAGAGTATTACGGTAGATGTGCTGCATGCTAACAGACATCCCCTCCGAACAGAGAGGCACAGTGGAGGCTTGCCCAATATCCTCACAGCAGCCCACTCACAGGAGAGGGAGGGAAGGAGATACAAAGAGAGGGAGAAAACATCCTACTCTCTTATGCTGCATTTGACTTTTTATTTTTCCTCACACTGGCCTTCACACTTTCTCTTTGGAAATTAAGCTACACAGTTCCCATAGAATTGTTTTTTACTGTGAACTATAAGTCATAAACAAAACAATTTTTACAAAGGAATTGAAAGTCAGGTTTTCGTACCTGTGGATATGCAATGAGGGAAGATCTCAAATCAGAATTCCGGAGGGTTGGGATTTGACATGGCCCGTGGAATTGAGTCTTTAGTGTTTCCAAACCCTTTTTGCTCCATGGATTCAGCTCAGGGAGGACACTCTGACCGCTGCAAGTTCTGGCTGCTGGACCTGGGTAGGTGCCTCCATCATGTGTACCACATGAGTAATGGCATAATGTGTTGAAAACAAGTCCTTTTCCTGTTTTCTTGCTTATATCAGAGTGAAGTTCGTTTAAATATTTCAGAAAACACCATACTGATTTTCAGTTCTGTGGCAGGATTTGATACAGTATGTAGATTGTAACATGTCTACATAATGCTGCTTATTTCATGGAGATGCAATTGTACTTGCTGCTTCTATATAGTGAAGAAAGACACAACAATTACCAAAAAGATACATCTACCAGTTTGGTGTTGTTGTTGTTGTTGTTATTGTTTGTTCATCATGTTATGGTCATGCCATGGCACTATTTTGGTGATTTTCGAATGGGTTTTAATGCAGAGGGCATTCAATAATCAAGTGTGGATTATGCTGAGGCATTATGGCAGCGAAAGTAATTTGGTGAATGCACCGTTATGTGACGAGATATTAAATCTGCTGAAATCAGATTGATAAGATTATTTGTTCCCATCTGTGCGCCAGGTCAGGCGCGTGCTGTGCAGATGGGCAGGGGGGTTTTGTAGACCCCAGGGAGAAAATAAATTAATGAGGTCAAATAGAAAAGTAAGATGAGGAGCTTCTCACATTCCCAATCGGTTTTCTGTCTAGTGTTTTCACAGTTGTCTGTTGTGTACAATATATGACAAAGCCTGTAAAAAAAAAATCTAACAAATGTTGCCATAATAGCTGGTGGTCTTTAAACTCTCCCATCCCATCTCCACGCCCTCCATAACTATGGCTGATGGTGCTAAGCCCTCTCCAGCATTGTCAACATTTCTACAGATCATCTAGCCAAACCCCCTGGAGCTTACCCAAACGCTGCACCTCAGCCCCATAGAGCTCTTCTCAAACCAAAGCGACTGATGTTTCTGTGTGTCAGAGTGTTTGTATCCCTTCTCCGGGGGACGATGAGACCACACCAACAATGCTCCCCTGGTGACACCTCTGGAATCCCAGGCATGCTTCTGTGGAGCTGCGCAAACTTTTGGGATCATTCCAGTTGTACAGCAGCCCCTCCCCTCCTATTCTGAGACACAGGCACACACACACCAAGTCGTAAATCTAGCATGTAACTTTGGAGTGTTGTGAATAAGAACTGACTGAATTATTGCACTCGGTAGCTTGCAGATGGATTAGCAAACATCTGAAGCTGCAGTGGGGAGCATCTGGGGGATTCTTGGTGGGTCTTTTCACGGGACTCTCAGCCCACAGAGCTAAACTGAGAGGACCATATATTAGAAGGTTGAATACAAATCTGATTTGGCTTGAAAAGTTTAGTTTAAAGGCTTACTTTTGTATGGTTGAATAGATGGTTATCTATGAAGTGCCTCAAGTCAACAATTGTAGCGACAGAGATGTCAGGTTTCTCATAAGATACACATTTTTGCAAAGATTAACAGATATAAACTATAACAACGCTTTTGAATTCCTCTTGTAGGCAAACAAGAGTGTTATTTGTCAAATTTTCTTTTCTGAAAAGTTGACTATGACAAAGATAAGACATTTAGGGTATAGCTACTGTAGATGTGTACAGAGACAATGCATGACAATGAAGACATACATAATCAAATAATAAGGTTTTCCACATACATTTGCTCTGTTCACATCTTTCATGAAGGGTCAGCCAATATAATATTGTATATGGAGCTTTACATCTTTAAATCCAGTGTCTTTATGGTTAGCAACAATAAAACACTGATTACATGAGGAAGACAAACTCTTAGCTACAGTAGTGTCTCTCCTGCAAACAAACTTTGTGTCCCCCATGTTTGTTTCCCATGAGTCCGAGCCTGACCAGCTGTTCCCGAGGAGACACTCTGCAGGGCAAAGGGCAAATGTCATGCCCTTTTGTGTGTCTGAGTGTGTCAGTAGGGTTATTTTCTACTGAGGAGGAATGTGTCAAGGACACTGACCCCATGTTTCACCCATTTACACCCCTGTTAGCACAACCTCCTTGGCATAACCAGAGCTAAAGATAGCCCCGGAAGCTTATCTAACTGTCAAGGTGTAATCATTTTTATTCATGACACAAAGGACACGAGGTGGAATATTTTACTTATTTATGGAACACCACATTAGCACAACATTAGTCATGGTTAAATTATTACCAAAGCTACATTTCATATTCAAGCCCATTTATTCCATTTCCTTAAAAATAGACCATTGAGAATTTAAATTATTATTTAAATTATCTTACAACAGCAACCACAGATGCACTGATTTCAGTTGTACCTTTATAGATGTGTATATAAGAAACATTTGGAAAGATACAAAGTTATTGTTTCACACCAGACACCGAACATGTGTGCATTGAAGGTGTCAGTTAAACAGCCTTTGGTCTAATAGCTCAGACGTACTTGCTAACGGTATGTCTACATGTTAGGTTGTGACCCCGGTGTGCCTCCAGGAAGCGCGCTGTTTGCTCTACGTGTGAAGTCCTGACTCCTGTGTGGCTCCCAGGTTCACTCCCTTTTAAAAGCACACATATTCACCTAGGTGTGAAATGATGACTTATGCACACAGGTGTTTGCTCTGGGTTGTCACTGTTGTCCGCCACTTCAAATAAAATAGCCGAAAGGGGTTTACAATATAAATAACCGATTTGTGAGGCTTCAGGGGTCACTTACCGTTGTTTACCCAAAGTGTTCAGGTCTCAAAAATCCTAATAATTCAAACACCTTGTCAGCACCTGTATCTTTTACTTGGAGTATGAATTATGAAACAAATGGAGAACTCATAAAAGAAGGTTTTAATAATCCTTGGAGACCAACAATAGTGAACTTTTGGTTATCTAAAATAGGCTCCATGATTGTATCCATGACTAAAGCATTCCAGGGCAGCCTCGTAATAAACGTTTGTGACTCTGGATTTAATTTGTTACTGCAGGGGGAAACTACTTAAACCTCACAGCTTCCCTAAATGATTTACTTACCAGAGCTGTTGCATGTAAATATGTGCCGAAAAGAAAAAGGGATTATCTTCCATCAAATTGTGTCAAATCGTCTTTTAGTATGCTCTTTGGGTGGGATTTGTAAATCTCTTGAGAAGTTCAATCCTTTAATTCCAGGGAGATAAAACAGTATCTGTTTTTTTTTCTGGTATGAAAAGTAACTTGTAGGATGAAAACAGAAAAGGATATGTTCTCATCTACACCTCCTTGATCTATTCACGTTATTGTTCGCCTGACTCATTGCTAAGAATATCTTACACAACTTCAACTCTGCAGATACCATGAAAGATCATGACTGTTATCACTCAGGTTATACTGGAGATCTCTCCAAATGACTTGCTCTTTGTCCGAGGGAGATTGTGAGAAGACTCTCGGATAAAATGGCTTTTTGAATCCTAATAGTGTGAGAGACGCTTGTTATTCTGGGAACTGTGCTTTTTTCTCCCTTTGCATGCGATGTGAGAACACATGCTTCGTATCAGCAAAGCGCCGTAAAAACAAGTCTCCCAGAGGCTGAAAGACTGACTCGCACTCTCACGTGCAGATGCGTTCATTCAAGCTGTGTTAAAAAGTGTCCAATGAGGGGAGCCAATGTTTCCACACCTGCCATTCATAAGAGCCATTCAGCTTGTGTGTATGCTTTAATCACGAGCAGCTGCATTTCTGTTTGCACCACTCTAATAGCTAAATAATGAACTCTTTAGTCAGGCTGCACATTATCCCAAACAACTATATTTCATTGTATCATTTTTGGGTTTCAGATTTGAATCTCAACAAATGATGCGGTGTGATAGAGGAAAGTATTGCCTTGACTCCACTTGTGTCTCCATAGGAATGTACTTGTTTTTGAAGTCATGCCATTTCTCGAATTACTGTGCTATTCTGCATAATCAGAACATCATCCCTTGAGAGGGATAAAAAACATCAGTTTAGGAGTGTTATTTATTGTTTGCCTTTTTATTGGAGAAGACAGCTGCAGACAGGAAAGGGGTAGAGAAGGAAAGATGACATACATGGTGTACACATTACCAGGTGACCCAGTCCCAGTTTTTGAAGTCTGGTAGGAAATACCATACTCCTCTCATTGGGTAATCCTTGGTAAATAGAAGTGCTTTGTCATATCTATAAATCTATGTTTTTGTCTTCACTCTTTTATATTGGCAGCAGAGAAAGGCATACTCTTAAATCATGCTCTTAACCTTTGTTCATCTTTGAGGTCATACAATACGTCTGGTCCAGGGAAGTCTCTGTGGTGTCAGAGTTGGGTTCATGTTTCATATTGGGACAGCATGCAAAGAAACCCAACCTCAACATTATGATCGCAAGACTCCTAGGTCAAATGTGCTATTTGAGCCAGAGATGTTGTTTCTCTCTTCAGTGGCATGCAGCAGAAAAGTCAGGGTAACTGAGGGGGTTATGCTAGAGACGGGAAGTATAACCGGATTAAATGAGCAGACAGGTGAGACAGACAGGTGGATGTATCTTTAAAGTATTCAGACAAAGCCTCAAGCGTCCCATTTATCTTGTATCGTTTTTTCATTGCTCCATCGCTAGGCAAAAAGCTCTCCTCCCACAGAGTCCCTGAGGCTCAGCCATCACTGTGAGGAGGAGGCCAGCCTGCCTCCTGCACATTACACTGCTCAACAAACAGAAACACACAGGCTTTTATCATAAGATGTGTCTTCTCTTAATATTCGCTAATATGCAAACTTGCATATGCCCAAATACATGTTATATAGTCTAGTTTATGGTTTGTTACACAATTTGTAACATATATTAGCAAATTAAATGAGGTTTAAATATAAACTAAGCTTCAATTTGCCAATTCATTAATGTTTTATATAATGTACTGTATGTTAATCCCTGGAGAGGTTATATGGAAATATAGGCCTGTTTTAACTCTGCATACAAGCATTTGTGATACAAAAGATACCTTCTACTAAAATGTAATAAAAATGAATCCCTTAATTGAATCACTGTCAATCAATGCGAGACTAAAATTCTGCATTTTGATTATTTGGTGAGATAATCCTTTTGGGATCATTGAGAATAATACAAATGTAATATATACAGGTACTTATCATAATGTTATTATTCAACCTTCTCTTCCTTTTCTCCTCCTCACCCTTAGACACCTTGTCTGTATCCAGTAACGACGCCCTGCAGCCAGGCTCCAGCCACACCCTGGGTCATCACAGCTCTCCAGGCCCCAAACGTCCTGGGAACACCTTGAGGAAGTGGCTCACCAGCCCCGTGCGGCGGCTGAGTTCTGGCAAAGCTGATGGCCACGTCAAGAAACTCGCCCACAAGCACAAGAAGAACCGCGATGGCACGAGGAAGAACATGGACTCAATGGCCGGCTCGCAGAAGGACTCTGACGACAACGCTGCAACGCCACAGGACGAGACACTGGAGGAAGTAAGAACAGATAAAGCAGTGTGCAGCATCAGAACACTTTAAAGATGCAGTTTTGGTTCTGACAATAATGGTTCTCCTCCTCTCTTTATCTCCAGCGTATGCGTAATGAGGGTCTGAGCAGTGGCACCCTGTCCAAGTCTTCCTCATCAGGGATGCAGAGCTGCGGTGAAGAGGAAGGAGAGGAAGGGGCCGATGCTGTCCCTCTGCCTCCCCCAATGGCCATCCAGCAACACAGCCTGCTGCAGCCCGACTCTCAGGACGACAAGGTTGGTCACGCAGGGCAATCACAACAGATAGACGCATACAAAAACACAATGCCGAACAAATACAGATGCAAATACAGGTGCATTGACTGGGGGATGCACATGTCAATATATAGTACATTTATATTCACAGGAAGATGCCTTTTGATCGTTTTTAAGTCCTCAGCTTGCATTTGTACTAAAACATATTTAGTTATTTTTAAATGTTCAAATTTCTTTTAAATGTTATACACATTAGTCTTAATTTAATCAGCCAAATGTCTGTGTTTGGTTCCAATCAGAATTTAAACCACAAAGCTTATAATAAACACACAAAAACTCTTCTTTGGCTAATAACTTTTCATTTTTTCTCTCTTATTTTCTTGATGGTTGCATGTTCCTCTTTCCTTTAGCATTACGTTGATTTCTGTTCTGCTTCTCTTCTTTCCCAGTTTCCCTATCTCTCCATGTAAAACCACTTCATCATCTCTACTTCGGATCCTTCTTTAACTAACTTTTTTTTCCTGTGCGTTTTTGTCATCTATCTTTTACTAACAACGTGTCATTCCCATGGAGTGTAATTGTTCTGCTGTTGCTGAAGTGAATACTTTAATATTCACATGTTGCTGCAGTGGTGAGGTGTTTGTCGGACTGAATGGTGAATTCCCATTAAGTCTGGTTTTGAAAAGGGGATCTTTTTAAAACTGTGCCTGCCACGATGCCTCAGTCTGGGCTCTGTTGCAGAGGCAAACGTTCTCTCCAGTGGAGTATTAAGCAACACTGTTTGCTGTTTATAAGTAATTTGACCAATCAGGATGCTTGTGCTGAAAATCAGTCCAATCTTAGAGCTATCCCTTGACCTAATCCCACCTCGTAATTGTTAACCCTGTTTCCCTGAGACCAGCCTGTAATTGGCTCCTACTTGGTCCCAAGTTAACCCTTTTATTAGGGAGGTCACACCCACCAAGTCCTTATATGGACTTGTGGAATACCGGGGTCCAAACTCAACAATGGTGAGCCTGATTCACAGTAGTGAATATGACCGCTTTACGCATGCTGCTCTACCCAGTTTTACATTTATCATGTTTACACCTTAACAACATATTCTTTAACTTCCTGTCTTTTTTTTTTCTTTGTAGTCTGCTTCCCGTCTTTCCGCTCGTCCCAGCAGTTCAGAGACGCCCAGTGCTGCTGAGCTGGTCAGTGCCATCGAAGAGCTGGTGAAGAGCAAGATGGTCAGAAAAAAAATCATAAACGAGTCACACGTACACACAATTGTGGCACATTTGTACACAGAACAATTCTCCTAGATTAATGTAGGAGCACACACACACACACACACACACACACACACACACACACACACACACACACACACACACACACACACACTTTCTTTCTGGTGTTGTTGACAGAGAATTGCATCATGGACACTAGTCATCTGTCAGAAGGAGTGTGACTCACTATGCCAGCTGTCCACTGTTCCAACAAATGGGCATTGCATTCTGGTTTATATCCCCAACACACACACATTCCTATTGGCTTACAGACAGTATGGACACATACCAAAGTGAAGATAGTACAGTTGAATAAAACATGCTGTCCAAAACATACAATCTTTTTATTTTTCATCTCAATGACAGTTATTTATTTATTTTCCTTTTTCTGTTCTACCCCCTTTCCTCATCCCCTTGCCTCTGCACTCCTTGTTCCCTCAGTCACTGGAGGATCGTCCCAGTTCTCTGTCAGTAGAGCAGGGCGACAGCAGCTCTCCTTCCCTCAACCCCTCCGACAACTCCCTCCTCTCCTCCTCCTCACCCATCGATGAGTTGGATGAGCGCAAGTCTGGCTTCTTCAAGAGAAGACAGTGAGTTATAAGCTGGTGTCTTGTTAGTGTTTTATTAAACAATAACTGCTTGAGTTCAATCAGTTAATCACGTTTGTCTTCATCTGTGTGCTTATATGGAACAATTCTGATGTTCATCCACAGCTGAGTGCATTACATTTGTATTACACGGTGACTATTTCTGTTTTGTGTCCCTCAGTTATGTGCTTCTGGAGCTGGTGGAGACTGAGAGAGACTATGTCAGAGATCTGGGATCAGTAGTGGAGGTAAAATCAGATACTAAAGTATATTTTAACATTTACTTTCAGAAATGTCTTTTTGCCCAGTGTTTGCGGTACATTTTTTTTAAACATTTTTCTGACTTTCCTACTCTCAGGGCTACATGAGCAGAATGAAAGAGGAAGGAGTTCCAGATGACATGAGAGGAAAAGACAAGATTGTCTTTGGAAACATCCATCAGATCTATGACTGGCACAAAGAGTATGCTGGCAGTCTTCTCCAGTTAACCGACAAATACCCTGACAAATGCTTTTAAAGTTGTGTTATCTGCCCCAGTGTAAAGCCAGACAGCATCAAATACAACAGGGCCATGGTCTTTGTTCAGTTAAATAATATTTCTCTCTCTTGATTGATCCACAGTCTTTTCCTGGGAGAGCTTGAGAAATGTTTGGAGGATCCTGACAGGCTGGCTCCTCTATTCGTCAAACAGGTATGGAACCTATTAAGTACATTTTATTGAATTTAAACGAGAGATCAAAAACATTCTCTAAATTGTGGTATTTCCTCTCGTGTCCAAAACCTACTTTTGTTTTGTTTGCAGGAGCGGAGGTTACACATGTACATCGTGTACTGTCAGAACAAACCAAAATCTGAGCATGTTGTGTCAGAATACATTGACACTTACTTTGAAGTAAGATTGTTTTTACCCAAACTTCATTATTTATTTTTTAAATGTTGGATTGTCCAGGTGATCAGTATTTCAGTTTACACGTCATAACATTTGTATCTTTCATCAGGACCTCAAGCAGCGATTGGGCCACAGATTGCAGATCACTGACCTGCTTATCAAACCAGTCCAACGTATAATGAAGTACCAGTTACTGCTGAAGGTAAATCCGTCATCGTGTTCTTAGTTTGCAAACTGCATTCAGGATGAATTCAAATGTTAAGTCATTATTAATATCATGTACCGCTTTCACAGGATCTTCTTAAAATGTCTAAGAAAGCTGGAGTGGATACAAAAGATCTGGAGGTAATGTGATGCCCACGTTACACTTTAAACTTTCTAAAAGTGATGCGAAGACTCGCATTAAAATCCTCAATACTTTTTTAATTTTTTTTAATGGATTTTATGTGTTTGCCTCTTCAAGTTTGTACTTTCATGTTCTTTTATAGAAAGCTGTGGAGGTTATGTGCGTGGTCCCCAAGCGCTGCAATGACATGATGAATGTTGGGCGCCTTCAAGGCTTCGATGTAAGACTGCTCTTATCCTCTTTCTGTTGCTGTCCATGTCTCTGTGTGTGTGTGCTTGGACAACATACTAATTTAAATAGGGTATTCATTTAAATAATGTACACCGATACTTATCAGAAATCAATTTCAATCAACTGCCACTAGATGTCAGTGTGCGCTCATTTTTTGCAAACATGCCTTAGCACTGTAGGTAGTTTGTGTGGTAATAGACAATGCTTATTTTGGTTGTTTTTTCTCTTGCCTATATCCAATCTAAGTAATGAAAACTGTCAGAAGAAGTGCAAAGAGCATGCTGTCCTCCCCTTTCCCTGTCTTCTGATTACTCTTCTGTCTGATCTTCCTCTTGCTTCAGGGTAAAATTGTGGCACAGGGCAGATTGCTCCTACAAGACACCTTCATGGTGTCGGACCAGGATGGAGGACTTCTGTCCAGGATGAAGGAGAGGAGAGTCTTCCTGTTTGAGCAGATCGTCATCTTCAGCGAGCCCATAGACAAAAAGAAGGGCTTCTCTTCTCCCGGCTACCTCTTCAAGAACAACATCAAGGCAAATGCAGCTCAAACAAATTACAGAACACTTATGTGAAAGCAAAATATAAGCCTTGAACAGTTGAAAAATGTGTGTATGTGTTGCCTGATCGTGGACTGTAGATTTGACTGTAGGTTCTTTAAAAAGAAATCCCCTGTTGCCCTTATTGCTTTTTTCACTGCCACCCTTCCTCTCTGTTCTTTCTTTCTTATATCATCACTTCAGGTGAGCTGGTTGGGTTTAGAAGAAAATGCAGATGACCCCTGCAAGTTCACCCTCACATCCAGATCATCTAGTGGAAACCTGGAGAGGTACACCCTGCATTCAATGAGCCCCGGGGTCAGTCAAGTCTGGATCCACCAGGTCAGCCAGATACTAGAGAACCAGCGGAACTTCCTCAATGGTAAGAGAATTATGAGAATATGACTCTGCACACAAATGAACAAGAAAATGCTGGGCTGTGTACTTCAATGGAAATGTACACTAGTAGCATGTCTGGGTTTTCCGGTCTCTACTAGTTCTTTATCAACTTCTTGGAAAAAAATATGATTTTGTAATGAGTGTAATCTGTCCCCTACCACAGCTCTGACATCCCCCATAGAGTATCAGAGGAACCATGTGGGTGGTGGCGGGCCGGGCGGCCCACCCAGCAGTAGCAGCAGTTGCACTGGAGGCCTGCCAGGAGGCAGCAGCTCCAGCATGGGAGGGGGAGGAGGTGGTGGTGGCTCTGGAGGATCGGGGAGCAGCTCCTCCTCTCTGTGCGGCCCTCGCTCTCGACCCTCTCGCATCCCCCAGCCATCCTCACGCTTACCCCAGCCCGTCCACCACCACCATTCCCCGGGCCCTGAGGGGCCCGACAGATCAGCAGGTATGTGGTCACCCTGCCACCCTCTGTCCCTCCCCTCTAACCCCTACCCAGACAGCCCCACAAATGGAGAGGTGTTAGCCTCAGAGGTCCCAAAGATGAGGATGCTGGATAGTCCTCATGGAAATAACAGCAATAACAGTAACAGCCCATCAGACAGCATGGATGGTAGTGTCAGACTGGGGGGTTTTGAAGAAACCCAGAAACATCAAACAGCTGGTATACCACAGATGGCCGTAGCTCCTCTTAATTTGAACCTAAAAAGCCCTCGAGCTGGGACAGTTTCTCCTCTGATTTCACCCCAGTCCCCTGGAGGTGGAGGAAAGGATGCATTAGTCCCTTCTAGCCCAGCTCATAAAGGCACCTCTTTCTGGGCTATGGTCCCTTCTGTGCCCCCCTCTCCTGCCAGCCGGCCTGGCTCCTTCTCCTACCCCAGCGACTGTGGTGGAGGAGGGGACTCTTTGGGCAGAGGGAGCCACGGGAAGCCCTCTCATCACCGCCACTCCACCCACAGTAAGGACATAGACCGCATGAGCACCTGCTCCTCCACCAGCGAGCAGTCCATACACTCCATCCAGAGCAACGGGGTAAGATGCCAATTTGAGGCCCAGGCCTGAGTGAGGCCTGGAGCTACTCACTAGTCACTAACCCCGCCCTCACTGACTGGCTATCTGTCAGTCACCCTGTCGCTGGCTCTGAGAATGGCTTGTACAAGCAACAACTACCACACTGGAGATTAACGGCTATCTGAGTGCACTAACTTCACCGACAGTGTGTGTGAGAGAGAGTCTTCTGGCTCTCCAGGGATGTACTAACAGTGTGGATCTGACTCATACAGCAACTGGTGTATTTGCTTTCTTGACTCTTGAAGTTTCAGTATGTGTTTGCTTCTCTACCGCAGCTAATATACACTAACAGTTGTAAAATGATCTTTTGCATTCACATTTCCTCTGGAATATTTTAATGTGATAATCAATCATCTATGGTCAAAACTTTGACATGGATGAGGAGCTCTTCCACCTATTATCTCCTTCCTCCTTCTTTCCCTGTAATGGTTAGCACTGAGACTACACTAGCTGCTTTTCTTCACTTCAACCTGCTCTATTTATCTTCAAGCTGATTCAAAATAGATTTTTTCTTGTAAATATGTTTTTTTTACTTCAGCTTCACTCTGTCCTTGAAGCCACAAACTTCTGTATTTCAGCAACTGTCGTGAGGATCATAACTTCTGCTTCACACTTTCTTCTCGGACATGACTTCTGTTTTATAAAATAACTCAGTCATGTTGATGCAGATAGTTGCTTTAACCCTTTATTTGCAAAAAGAAAAAAGGCATCTTTCAATGCTTCCTGCATGTGTCCATCATAACAGCAAGGTCATCTGTGTTTGAACCTGTCAATCAAATCCTGTTTGATTGGTGTGAAGCTTCTGATACAGTTTGTGCACCCCTTTTTAAAAAAATGTATGTGTCACACTGTGTTTTGTTAAAAAGCATGTGTGTTAAAGTCTAAAGAGTTCCAATCTTCTTCTGCAGAGTGAAAGCAGTAGCAGCAGCAGTGTGTCCACCATGTTGGTGACCCAGGACTATGTGGCAGTGAAGGAGGATGAGATCAGTGTGGTGCAGGGCGAGGTAGTTCAAATGCTAGCCAGCAACCAGCAGAACATGTTCCTGGTGTACCGGGCGTCCAATGAGCACAGCCCTGCTGCTGAGGGCTGGATCCCTGGCTATGTATTAGGACATACCTCCACCTCCATCACACCCGACCTCCCTGAAGGAACCATCAAGTAAGAATACATCTCTCTTGTTCCTGTGACAAAAACAAACAAATGCAAATGTCAGAATTCATCATGACTGCTTCTTTTTTGGTCTTTAGGAAATCATTATCATGGCATACAGCGCTCCGTATCCGCCGAAAGTCTGAAAAAAGAGACAAAGAGGGCAGGAAGATGGAGAACGGATACCGCAAGTCTCAGGATGGCCTGGCCAACAAAGTCTCTGTCAAGGTACAGAATTTAAAGATATTTTTTTTACAAACCCAATGAATTCGCTCTTTAAATTTGAGTTTGTGCAAAAAATCGTATTTATTCTTTATATTTTCGTTACAGCTTCTAAATCCCAACTTCATCCCTGATGGTAAGTACACATTTTACCCATAGACCATATACATCTTCATGTTTGAAATTGACATTACGTCTTACTTTTAACCTGAATAGACATGATTCTGTATACTGATTTGGGATTGAATGCACATAATCACCTTCACTTTCATCTCTGACTCCTCTTCTTTCTTTCCAGCTCCTCCAGAGTTCTTAGTCCCTGTTGGCGATGTTGCGTGCGAGGGTGGTGACAGTGTTACTCTGAGGTGTAAAGTGTGCGGTCGACCCCGGGCCACCGTCACTTGGCGGGGACCTGACAACAACACTCTGAGCAACAATGAACAGTACAACGTCACTTACAGGTGACAGAAGATAACTTGACTTCATTTGAGCTGACTTAATTAAACTATCAGGTTCATGTGATAAGATAGGAAGCCTTTACTCTGAGGACAAAACCTCAGGCTAGCATGTTGCATCTTACTCTATCTTTCCTTTCTTCTCTCCCATTCTACAGTGAGACAGGAGAGGCCGCTCTCTGTATCCTGGGAGCGTCTGTAGAGGACAGTGGTGTTTACACCTGTGTTGCCACAAATGTAGCAGGCTCTGTCACCTCCTCCGGCAGCCTCAGGGTCTCAGGTGAGAGTCCTCCGATGGAATTAAACCATCAACTATTCATTTACCAGATAGATACTGTACCTGGGTTTGTTCTGTAAAGCTGATTTACTGAATATCACCTCAGTTAAGCTTTGAACCTCTGCAATTGTAGTTGCATTTACATTTCTGTTAAGCAAATGAAAAAGAAAAGGTTCTACTTGACTTGGTGTATTATCTTCAAAGGCATGTTTTTGATTAGTACTCTATTTGAATACAAAATGTTATCTCAGGAACAGCTGACGACGGCAGTGAAGTCCTCTGGAAAAGCAGCTTTGCCTCCTACTACACAGAGATCACTGAATTAGGAAGGTAAGGAGAAGAAGGTCAATTATTATAGCGTAAGGTATAAGCATCGCGAATGACGCAATTTATGCTAATTTTGATTGATACTAGCCGGTATCATTGTGTGGTTATTTCTGCATCATTTTGAAACGTGTTCTAAAATTAAATCACAGTCAAATATGTTTATTGTGTTGATGTTGGTATCTACCATATAATCTATGTGAGGAACTGTGGTCTGTCGCCAAGAGCCAAAAGCTGCTGTTTGGTTTTTATGATTCAACGTCAGTGACGGCAGATTCTCACCGCTGATTGGCTATCGCAAACTCGCTTCTATCTTTGCATTGAGTTTACAAGTAATCGTGACGCGCGAAAGAAATCGCATCACATACCTTTAGATAGATCCCACAAATGTAATTGCATGTATTATTCCCCACTGATTTTAGCCTGATAAATCTCATCGAGACAAATACAATACACTAAATCACTTTCAATGACAATGAGATTTAATCAAAAATAACCTGTAGGCCTACTAAAAGCGTATTAATATTTTCTTCTAACCCTGATATCTGCTCCCCAGGGGCAGGTTCTCAGTGACAAAGCGGTGTGACCAGAGAGGCAGTAAACGGACAATTGCAGCAAAACACATCAACAAGAAGCTGCTGCGTCGAGAGCAGGTGCTGCATGAGGTCCGGCTGCTCCAGACTCTGGATCATCCCCACATGGTGGGGCTGCTGGACACGTATGAGACGGCCCACAGCTACGTTCTTGTGCTGGAGATGTAAGTACTGTTGTGTTTCCCTAATCTGACTGCTCAATGTTTGAACATTTAGATTGTTTATCCGTGTGAATTTTAAACCTCTCATGACACTCAAATGCATATTGTGTTTTTGTATTCAGGGCAGACCAGGGACGTTTCCTTGACTACATAGTGAGCTGGGGCAACCTGACGGAGGAGAAGGTGGCTCTCTACCTCAGAGATATTCTTGAAGCTCTCCACTACCTGCACAGCTGGAGGATAGCACATCTTGATCTTAAAGTAAATGCATAACATCAGGGTAGAGCTAAATACTTAGTAGATATATAGATTACTTGATCAACACAGTAGTCTTAGCAAAAATGTCTGATATTATCTGGTTCCAGCTTCTGTATCTATTGTGATAGCAAAATACAAATATGTAGGTGTTGGACTATCAGTCAGCATTTTAAGACATCAGCTTTGGCTCTGGGAATTAGGCATTCAAATGTGTTGCTGTAAAGAAACCTCCTTTATGCATATATGCGTAACGTCTCGTCCCCCTGCTCCCCAGCCGGAGAACATCGTGGTGGAACATGCGTCTTCCCAGCCGGTGATCAAGCTGACAGACTTTGGTGATGCAGTACAGCTGAACCCTCCCTCCTTCTACACCCACCCTCTCCTGGGGAGCCCAGAGTTCTCTGCTCCTGAGCTGATCCTGGGTCAGCCTGCTTCACTGATGTCCGACCTCTGGAGCTTAGGTTTGTTTCTGAACACAAGTAGTTTGTAACTTGCAGAGGTGGAAGTACTCAGAAGTACTCAGAAGTCAAAGCAGAAGTACCTTAGTGTGGATATACTCGGTTACAAGTAAAGGTCCTGCATTCAAAATGTTAATCAAGGGAAAACTTAATCAAATTAAACTTGAAGTACCAAAAGTAAAAGTACTCATTAAGCCGATGAGCCCATTTCAGAATAATATATATTAAGATTATAATTATTGATGCATTAATATGTTAATCAAAGCTTGTAAAGAGGCAGCACACTTCAATTACTTAACATACTGTAGGGTAGCTTGTGAATTTTACGCTAGGTGTAACTAAAGTCTTATTTAAGTGTGATTTACTCATTACATTATTAATCCAAATCTCCAAAGTAAGTAAAGGTATTAAATAAATATAGTGTAGTACAATTACACTTTTTACATCTGAATTATATGAGATAGAAGTACAAAGTAGCAAAAACTTGAACTTGAGTAAATGTACTTAGTTACCTCAAACCACTGGTAACTTGTATATAACATCATAAGAAGCTAATTTGAAACAACTAACGAAGCTCTTTCTTCATTAACAGGGGTGGTGACCTACGTTGTTCTGAGCGGTGCCTCTCCCTTCCTGGATGAGAGTTTGGAGGAGACGTGTTTGAACATCTGTCGTCTTGACTTCAGCTTCCCTGAGGACTACTTTCAGGGTGTGAGCGCTGCTGCCAGGGACTTTGTGTGCCTGCTGCTCCAGAGCGAGCCGGAGCGGCGCCCCCCCGCGGGGTCCTGCCTGCAGGAGCCCTGGCTGCAGCCCCGAGGCATGATGAACAGAGACACTGGTCACACCACCCTGAACCATACACAGCCACCAGCGCTGCCACAGAATCATCAACATCTGGACACCTCCAGACTCATCGCCTTCATCGAGAGACGGAAACACCAGAACGATGTTCGGCCCATCGCCACCGTTAAGGCCTTTCTTCACAGCCGGCTGCTCAACCACATCTAACTCACGAGACAGCAACGTGTACTGTGGATACACGTTCTGCTTTGTTGAGGACTTGAAGGAATTCCTGCCTGTCCACAAAGCTTTGGAGGATGAGTAACCTTTGTTGAGTTGAGCTGTTACTGAGAGGAACACCAGCAACATTTCCACAATGATCCCCTTTTCCCTCACTACGCCACACAAATCCTGCTGCTGCTGACTGACTGACCTCTGCTGATAAACCCTCTGACTCTAACCCCAACCCCCCCTCCTTTACCTTGGCATATTGTCATTATGCCTGCACAACAAATTAACTGTTGGAATCTGTTTGAGATTTCAAACCGTGACTTAGCAGGGAGAGAAACCCGAGCTTTCTCAACAAGCTTCCTCAGCAAGCTTGAGCAAGTCTTGCGTTGCGACCAGTGTTGAACGGAGAAAATAGAATACTGTATAATAAGAGTAATTCAGGCTGCTTTCGGTTGAACACAAGAAAATGTTTTTTTGTAATGAGAGATTACTTTTTGTAAATGAAACCATGTACAGTGAGTAAACAGAGATCTGTCTTTATTCAAACAAAGGTGAGTAGACGAGAGAAGTGGGATGTGTGAACAAAGTGGAACCCATCAGCAGGGTCCACTTATTCTAAGATGAAGACCAAAACCATGTTTTCCAGAAACACATTATAGTTACATTCAGTGCAATAGTTTGCTTATCTTTATGCCCCCATTCTGTCTGTGACAATAAGATAAACTCAATTAACAAGTATTAAACTATTCGGCATCGCCTCTCAGAATTTTACCTGCATCCGCCTTATTTGTAAATAACGTATTCCTGCCTTTCATTCTCATTTTGAAGAATTTGTCTCAAAGGAACAAAAGCGATTTAATTTGCAGAGTATTAGTGAGTCCATGCAGTTTTTGAGGTCACTCCTTGAGTCTGCATTTTACTATGAACAAACCGCTACTAGAAATGCACTCGTAATTTGCATCAATTCCCATGTGCAATGTTGCAGCTTTAACATTTATGCAACTATTTATGAAGACTTTGTGTTGTAGCCGTATTCTTAAAAAGGCATGTACGTACCTGGTACTGCGATAGATGTCTGTATTGTGTTAACTCTTATGTATTAAGTTCAGTATTAATATCTGCAAAAACCCCAGACATGAGGCGGGTTTTTGGGAAATAATGTATAAAAATGTGTATCTATAAAATATAGGCACTTATGCTTTAATTTTCTCATTATTCTGTTTTTAATTTCTGTAACAATACCAAAGTTGACTCTGCTTTCTTTTCCCGCTAAAATGTGTCTTTTTTATGATTTCTAATGTTAAGTTATAACAGACCACACTGAACCAGGACATGTGAGTGTTTCCATAGGTTCAGTCTGGATTTATTTATTCTTTATCGTAATAAGAAAGTGTTTGGTGGTTTCTTGCTGAAAAAACGAATATTTCACTTTTTTCAAGCTGTGCACAGAGTAGTTTGCTGTGTGAGTTTGTTTGGCTTTTGTAGGTAGATACTGGTGTATGTTGCTCGAGTCTTTTTAGCATATCAGTTTGAAGTTGTAAGACACAATAAGACACCAAGTAATATGTCTGGAAAAATGTCTCACTGTGGCCCATTCACCACAGACTTTAAATTGTATGAGAATTAATCATTAAACTTTAAGGAGACGCCAGAGATTGTACCAACAAAAGTTCAAATGTATCACTTTGATAACTATAATTCGTCATTGACATGTTATCTTCCAGTTATTTTCATTTGGTTGAGTTGATGTCTTTGGGTTATAAAGTTGTTGAAGTGCCAGTTGATGGAGTCGAACTAGAGGTGGGTGAGACTAAATATGTGCATTGTTTCTTATTTTATTTGAAGGTTTTAAGAGTTGCTGTCTGATTTGATGTTCAAGAAGTCAAAAAAATGTTGATTTTCTTTGGTCTGTACAGTCTAAGTATCTCATTCTGTGTCATTCTATTTATTGGAGTGGATCTAGGTTTCCCAAAATCATGCTGTTAATCAGTTTATCAAATTCTCTTAAAGCCTATTCATGGAAGAATATGATCTAAGTAGTAAAATGCCTTTGGGAAACCCCCCCTATACATGATGTAAAGATGTACAGAGAGGGTCGGGCAGTTTGCCCACACCCAGGATGTAAACCTCATAGCTATGTCATATTTTAAGTACACATAGAACAAGACTGCAGCAATGTCATTTTGAATGTCTTATTATTAATTATTTTTACTTTTGCATGTATATTTCTTTGTACAGAAGATTGTGTTTACATGTTACTAAGTGTTGTAAATATTTTATTTTGTCCTCGGTTATTTTGCCATTAAACGTACAAGGAACAACCGGTGTCTCCGAAACTTTGTGTGCACATACAGTATACTCACATACACCAATACTCCGTAAATCACTTTTTAAAAGTATTATTCATTCATTATGTATTTCTAATAAGCTTCGAGGAATCAGAGGTGACAGTCCGTTAGGCTTTCAAACTCTGGCATAAAGGCTTTTTTACACTTAATATTGTTGTTGTTTTTTATTTCAAACTTAACTTGTGACAAAAGTAACACATCCAATTCACGTGTGGTTTAATGTTATTTTCAGATTCTGTCATGCAGGTGACTGGAAAGATGTGATCTTTAGACCACAAGGCTGAGATGTGCACAGTAATACTAAGCAAATGCATATACTCCAATGAAGATCTTTGTCTGTTATCCCATATAATAAAACCACAGAAGGGGCGTTACCGATCTTATCTGTCCTCTGCAGATGCTGCTGCTGTGCATGAATCAGTAGACTGTACCATTCCCCCACCTCCTCAACCCAATGCTAAATGTCAGAAACTTGTGTTTTCAAATATCAAAAAGACCAGCTACCAGTAAGACAGCTTTTAGTTTTTTTTGCATGCAAGATCATTTTCATCCCTTTTTTATGTTGTTTGAAAGTATTGCTTAAGCAGGATGTCATTTATTTTTGCAAATATAGTCTTGGAAATTCAACTGACTAAAATATTGACAACAAATTAAGCTTTTTTTGTTAACAAAAACCCATGAATAAGAGTAGATCTGCCAGTTTACCAGTCTACCTGCACACCTGTGCTCCTGCCAGCGATTTAAAAAAACATTGTTTTGTAGCAGATGTGAGAAAGAACACCTTATCAGGTGTGAAATATGTGTTGTTTTTCTCAGCAGCGCAGTAGCAGAACATATTTTTGCATGAAACCACAGAGGATATATCCGTCACAATCTTGTCATTTTTTTATCTGAGAAAAGAGCAGTTAAGTGTAAAAGTGTTGCATCCTGGTGCAGTGTAGCTTGAGATGTTGTTTACACATTTGGTTTGGCCAACTAAAAAGATACTTTTCCATTATTGATTAAATTATTTATTTGACTATTTCTCTCAGCATTAAGACAATATTTCCCCCCTTTGTGATACCTCACCTACTGCAGCTTTTGGTCATCATTCTATCTCTATCACCCACTGAATCCAGCATTTACTCATACACGAAACCCTTGTCTGACTCTGCTTTTCATGGTTCGAACAAATGAAACCCTGGGAAAAGTTATCAGGGTCATCTCAGCCCAGTTCAATTAGTAAAAAAAAACATTTTCTCAGTACTTTCATAAAAATACTTTGAAAGTCAAAAAAAGACACATTGTCACTGTGAGCCTCTCCGCTCACACAGGCTTCAAATAGGGACGGAAAGAGCATGTTGGTTGAACACAGGCGTTTATTAACTCCAAACAAAAATATACGCGGGTCTCAAACGTTGCCCGGGTGGGAACCTTCACAGGTCCTTTGGCGACCTTCCATGACCCCGCCTACTGCAAAACAGCCCAGAACCAGGTTACGACATGCTTTTATTCCGGCACTGATTACCTGATTCCGATCAGCTGTCTGGCCTACGGCCGAGCCACTCCCTTCACTCCAGCAGCCAGCGCCCAAACCACACCCCGCTGCCACAGTCACCTACACACAGATGCACTGTAAGATCATTATAGTTGGGTCCAGGACCTCAATCCCGTGACCATTCTCTGGCTAACATGTTTTGACGATTGATTTGACATCTATGGACCTTTTAGAAAAAATTTAGAAACACGGTCCCTCGAAAATTTGCCGGCATTTTTTGCTAGGGGGCCAAATCCACAATGGCCGCCGGCGCCATCTTGAAAAATTTACTTTTGAACCAGAGCACCTACAATCAAGTGTAAATACACTTTTTGCACTGAATCTACCATGGGGAAACCGATTCTGACATCAGTTTGACGATAAAATGTAGTTTTGACCAAAATATCCAAGATGGCCGCCAGCGCCATCTGAAAAAGTAACTTTTGAACCCCATCACCTACAATCAAGTGTAAATACACTTTTTGCACTGAATCTACCATGGGGAAACCGATTCTGACATCAGTTTGACGATAAAATGTAGTTTTGACCAAAATATCCAAGATGGCCGCCAGCGCCATCTGAAAAAGTAACTTTTGAACCCCATCACCTACAATCAAGTGTAAATACACTTTTTGCACTGATTTGACCATGGGGATTCCGATTCTGACATCATTTTGACGTTATAACATCATTTTTACCCAGATATCCAAGATGGCTGCCATATGCTGGAGTGAAAAGTAACATAAAATGAAAGCGAAGGCACCACTCGACCGAGAGCTTTTAATCAAGAATGAGCATTATATATATACGAATAATTATACTCATTGTGTATTGTACATTCAATTATAC